TGGGGAATTAAAAGAGCCTTCAAAGGTTCAAGTACTTGGGAATTATTCCACATGTTTAATGTAATGTTCTCCTTATTTGGGCAATAGGGGACATGCTTCACCTCATTGATTTTGAAATAAGCCATGAGTGCTGCTCCTATTCTTAGACATAAAGTTTACTGCTGGTACTGGCATGACATTGAGCATGTCTAAGAACATGCCTGAGAAACTAAGTCGCTTGAGGGCAGGAGTATCCAGTTCTAGGTTGCTGGGATCTGGGACTCGGCACTGTCAGGACTGGACAAGCAGCAGAACTTGAGGCTCAGCAGTGCAGTTCAGTGCCTGGAGACTTTGGGCACTTTCAACTAAGGAAGAGTTTGAATTCAGCTTTGGATTTTATCCTTGTGTTGTGTGTTCTTGTCACTTGTACATCCGTTCAGACCTGTCTTCATCCTTGGGATTGAAGATACTCAGTAACCTCCATCAGTGGTGCTTGTGGTAGTCACGTATATATGTACAACATAGATAGTCACGTAATACATACATCTGCATTTAATATGTGTCTTGCTAGTCATGTAATAAGTACAACAGTGAGAGTAAGTACAGCAAGTGGTGGAAGTAGTGGGGCTGTAGCATTTGGGATTGAGTCCGAGAGTACTGACCGAGATCCAATTCATTTGGTGCCTCAGGATGTGCTGCATGAAGTCCTTAAAGGGGCATTTCCCCTGACGTGCTTCGGGCAAACCACACTGGGTGGTGGCTGTTCATTATACAACTGAAGGTTTATACTCATTGAACTTGTGTGTAGGCCTTGGCTGTGTTTTCAATTTCTTTGTGCTGTGTAAACTTGAGTCATAATTACTGCTGTTGTCAGGTGCCAGTTGATTTGTTCTGATGACACACTGGAATTTTGCTCAGTCTCAACTACAGGGTGAGATCTTTGCTTTCAAATTAGGTTCAGGTAGTTTTATCTTCCATTCGCACCTTGGTTTAAAGCAGCCATTCTCATTTCATTTCTGTGTCTTGTAGCAGGGAAAACTTTGGATTCATAGGCTGCAGCCTTTTAAGTCAAATAAAAGTGATTAAACGAAGCTTTTAAACTCACTACTCTTCTCAAATTATTTTATTTTGTTAAAAACTTCTAATATCATTTAGTGGTCAAGTCCCTTAGTTTTCCTTTGTTGAGTCTCTCTAATCACCTTGTCTGTTATCTACTAGGACTTTTTTGAAGGCATACCGTTGCTCACAGTAAAAGCTGGAAAAAGAAGTTACACCTGCAATTCCTTCATCAAACACATCATGGTGGGAGTTCCTTTCAAATGGTTCCTAAGAGCTACTTTCTAACATTATTTTCAAAATACAAATTACTGTGTGATAGCTGAAGGTGGTGACTTATTTCCCGCTCTGTGTGTGACTTGTTGAATACACTCCTTTTTGAAGTGCTTCATGAAGTGACAAGCTGGATGTTACGTGGTATTCCTGCCTTTTGCAGTTTGTAGGCTGAGTTTATTTCTTGTATGTGTATATGAAGGATAAAACTGGGACTAAGTCATCTGAAGAGGACTCAGAAAAAAAGTTGGCAAATCAATGGAATTTTCTTATAGGGATACAAAATCTGTAATTTAAATTCCAGAAATTTGCTAACAAAGTTGCATTTCTGTTGCGTGGGATACCCAGAAATGAATCTTACTTGTACATACAGATACTTTCACTAAAATTGGTCTTATTTTAATCTCAGTTTCTTCAAAAAGGAGGTGGATATTGAAATTTTTTTTTAGGAACAAGATAGGGAAACGCTTCCTGGGAGCAGGTGGAGTTCTGATAAGTACTTCATAATTTTGAAATTTTACTGGTCAGAAAACTGAGACACAAAGAAGCAGCATATGTGTAACAGGTGGTCTAAGCCATGTAGATGCTGTGCATAAATTAGTGATTTAACACTGAGCCTGTACTGATTAATAAGGAATCTTTTTGTTACCACTGTCTTCTGAAATCAGCCTTGTAGTACCATAGCTTGAAAGTCAGTGCTATGGAGAGGGGTGTGAAGAATATAAATTAATCTCTAGTGGAAAGGCTCATGTTATGCAGGTTTCTTTTTCTTTGAACTGATCACACGTTCCTCTTAGCTGACCCAGTTACTTGGAATAATTTTCATTTTGCAGAACTCTTGATCAAGTAAATGAAAAAAGTGCTCCTTGTTGATGATAAAAATCATTCTAGTGTACTAAAATATCTCTTTTTTTTTAATGTGTACCATGAAGACTTAATGTTAAACCAATTTGGGTAATTATCCAGCAGTTGTCTTCATTTGTAGATGTTTAGTAGTGATGTAATATTTACATAAAAATGACACTTCATGTGGTGAACTGGGCTCTGGCACTGAGGAGGATCTTGGTGTGGTGCTGGTCTATGTGAAGGTCTGATTGTGAAGCACTGATAATTTGAAAGAGAAACCAGGATAAGTGTGGTAAATCTTAATTTTCGAGGGCAGAGTGTTTTGTTAAGTAGATTTATTCTTTTCTACTATTAGGTTTTACCCACTACATGTGTCTTATAGGGACAATTGAACAATAAGACTTTGGACCATAGAAAATAAACGTAAGAAGGAAGGTAATGTCATTCTGCAGATGACTGTTTTCTGGTTTGTTTTGTTTCTGGCACTGGGATTCAGCTTCAGTATCACAGAAACTTTACAATAGATCCGGCTTTTAACTTGTAAGGAGAATAGGTACAAATAAACAAACAATTTTGTTGTAGCTAGAGCTTGATTATCTGGGGTTTTGTAAATTTAATGCTCAAACTGACTTTTTAATGTCATTGGCTTAAGCGATTAGGAAACAGATGTTCTAGAAGAAGCTACAAGTCAAAGTTTACAAAGTCAGACAGTTTGATTGGCTCCTTGTACCGTGCAATATATGACCAAAAGGCAGAATTATGGGAGCTGATTATAAACCAAGGCTTAGATTATGACTGGGCAGTCTTAGTTCAAATAAAGCAATCTTCATGTCTCAAGTGCTTTGGCTCCGAACTTGTCTTTATGCAGCTTCATTTCAGTAGGAACCAGCTAAAGAACAAAAAGGTTGAGTTTTATGTTTTTCCGTCTGTGTGGTGCAAGCACAAGCAGCAATTGGGGATGAAGAGAATCTCCATTTTGAGGCCATCTGTGTCAGTTCTTTTGTCTGAACCTGACAAGAGGTCATGGCAGATGGTGGGGTCACAAAGTCTGGCTTCTCGAGCTTGACAAAATGTGTTCATAAAGCTGGAAGAATACCAACTGTTCATACTGGCTGAAGAGCATTGTGGAGAAGGACTGTAATAGTTTGTGAACAATACTTTCTGGATCACTAAGCTTGGCAGCAAATAACTTGTTAAAGATGAACCTGGTTTGCTTATACATAAATGGATTAAAACCGCTTAGCAAATGTGTTCTTAACTATGGTTTATTTGAGTAAATTACTTGTAAAGCCTCTTAAAGAAAGAGAGGTCAAACTGCATCATGAATTTTGGCCAGAGCTCCAGATGATGTATTTGGAGAGTTTGTGTGGAAGGATGAGAAAGGTGGAAAAAGAACAAGCAAAAGATCATAATTTGCAGATGCAATGCAAAAATTGAGCTTTTGCTCTTTTCCATGACCTCTGTAGCCTTGGGGCTTTTCTGTGACTCTTCTTCAGGTTTCAGGATTGCTACACAGATGCAGTGGCCCCTTTCCCCAGGCCATAAATAGGTATCACTCAGTAGCACATTCTCTGAAGTCAGAGAAAAATTATTCTTATTTTCTTGGATGTTTTGTCATAAAAGTGAAATGTACAAATTTTCACAGGAGAATATCTTAGTAGAATTGTGTGGTGTTCACATGCTGGAGCAACTGCTTAATCATGGCTGCAATAAAATGGAGGCACTAAGGATTAAATACAACTCATTCAGCAGGAAATGGAAGACACCTCTATGTTGAGTAAAATGGTTTTCCACTAAAAGTTTTATTGATACCGTGGCCGAATAAACCAAGACATGTATAGAAACAGCCTAGAATTTAATATTCTGGGCTGTCCAAAACTACTAATGCAGTGATGGGAAGTGGTGGTAGAGTGCCCCCTTAGCTGTGCACACCCTGGAACAATTCCTGGCACTCTCCTCGAAGGGGGTGAAGGCGCTGCCCGTTCTCAAACCTCATGTAGGTTAAAATACAGAGGAAGTAACATGAATTTCACTCTGCTTTTGTAGTGGTGAGTTCTGCTGTAAATGGTTGTGACTCATATTTGGTAATTAGTTTAGGTATCTTCCTAATTTTACTGAGTTGATTCCACACTTGAAAATGTGAACATTTTTCCGTATCCTAAACATCCAAGTGCAATTCAAATGTCTTTTATAGTTCGTTTTTAACTGCAGGTAGTATTTATAAAGTACTTTCGAAGTACTTAAACACTTTGTCAAGTTAATTCTATCTTTAAAATGGTTTGTGCTGCCAGCATTGATTTGTAACTTTTCTTCTCTGTAAGACTTCTAGAAGCTTTCATTTAAAAAATAAGTCACTTTTAAGTATTTTTCAGTATACCAAAATTTTTGTCTTTTCCTGGAATTCTAAATTATAATTCTAATTACACAGATTAAATAAAATATTTAAAAGATGAGTTTGAACTGCAGAGGTTTTTCTTGCATGTTTCCTAAAAATACTGAATGTTTTCCATATATATACATTTCATTAAAAGCTTTCCCTGTTGTTGGTGGCTAAAGACACAATGGAGAGAAGTAATTCTCTTCCCTTTTATAAAGACATACTCTGCATTAGGAGCAAAAGATTGCATGGTTTTAATTAAAAAGCTTTAGTAATGGCATGACATGCTTTGCTAGCACATTAATGTCATTAGGCCTCTCTTTAAGTTGGTGTCTGTGTATAGGATTTCATCTCTGCCTGTCCCAAGCAATGTACATTTCTAGCATCTGTGAAGAACCTGACTATTGTGGTGATTGATTTTATCAAAAAGCGGGGTTTCACCTAAGGTATTTCATTAACTTTCTTACAGGATGTTCATTTTAAAGATTCTGTGAAGATGAAAAGGGATATCTTATGGTTTTACGAAATATAAAGCAATACTGTCTGACATGACGGCTAAAAATGTAAGTATAACCCTGCAACATGTATTACTTTGTGTATTGGCATGCTGCCAGTCACTGCTGGCTTTCAGAACCGTATGGACAGACGTAAGAAATCAAACACAAAGACCTTCACACTGAAAAATCTTGTCTGATTTTTGTACACCACAAATGTATTATCCCATCATCTTCTGCTGTGTTTTGATAAATTTAAACTGGCTTGAAGCTCTTTAAGGATGTGGAGTCCACTCAGCTGTAGGTCAGGTTGATAAGTGAGGCGATGCTTTCTGCTGTTTCCTTGTTGATCCTTTTGGGTCCCTTCCAACTTGAGATACTCTGTGAGTCTGTGATTCTTCTAATATTGCTCCAAACTCACCTGAGAGCTGCTCATTGTGTTGAATCTTCTGACCTTTGCAAAATCCTTCTACTGAGTCTCTCTCAAAACTCAAGAAAGAACAGAAAGACTGCGTATTTCTCTACTAATGTCAGTACACTCTTGGTTTCTAGAAGACCGAGGGTGTTCCTGTTTCTTCTCTTGCTGCATTAACAAACCTGTAGTGTGATGTCTGGAGGCTCCATGTTTGACTCCTCTATCCCAGGTTCTGAGGATGCTTATGAAGTGTCTAACATCCTGACCTTAATTTTCTGCCTAATTAGCTGTGCTTCCTGTGGTACACAATTTGTATAGAGAACAGTTCTGATTAAGTTTGGTGATCACTAAGTTGAGCGTGACTTTGGGCCCTTGGCAATTTGCCTGTTGACAGCCTTTGACAGGGCATCCTGCAGTCTGGGTAAATGTGAACAGGTTTAGGAACCAACCCCAAAGAAGAAGTACCTCATGATAAAAGTGCAGGTAGCCCAGGGTGGTGCTCTGTTCAGTAACTGCAAAAGGTTTTGTGCATGTTGGGTTACATTGGTGCCTGGGGCATAGTTTGGTTAAATTAATTCTCAACTCTCAGAAGTTTCTGTTGGCTTTATTAGTAGCTTCATTTGGTGTGTAGTTCCAGACTTTGAGGTGTCTTACATCTCACTTTCTGATTCAGGCTTACCAAGACAGAAGATAATTTGATACGTATATGCAAAGCCCTTTGACTTATTATTTCATAGGTCATATTAATCTCTAGTTTCAATAAGTAGTTCTACTGATGTATGTGGAACAGCTGCACAAATCCAGATCACTTGTGGTTTTGACCTTTTGTTTGATGCAGTCAAAGGATAAATACCAATCCCAATAAAATCCCTGGAGTGTTGCATGATAGAGTCAGAGAGGCATAGGTTGGAAGGGATCTCAGGAGGCCATATATTGTGCTGCTTTGTGTAAAGCTCTTTAACACTGGAATCCAGTGGCTTGGTGATTTGTTCAGGGCTCCATCAGGGTTCTGGGTTTTGAAAGTCTCCAAGGACAGACGTGAACCTTCAGTCTGGGCAACCTGTTCTTGTGCTGAATATAGATGTGGTTTTGCAAGGCTATGGTTACTTTATAGAAGAGATGTTGTATTGGTATGTATGCTTTGAAATTTTGCATATCAAACTTAGGCAAACCTAGTTATGTATCTAATGTTTATGAGTTTATTTTTTAAAAAAATATTACTGTGGTGCAGGTGAATGTAGGACTCAGCTTTCATGTTTACCTGTAAAAATGATGGTCATATGCTTTGTGTCCTTATTTGTAGGACTTCTTCAGGTTTCCCAAACCATAGTTACTTAGACTTGCATACTCAGGGTAACAGTGTCAGCCCTAGTGTTTTCTGATGTTGTTAGAAGGCCCAAGAATGCTTCTGAATTTGCAGAGTTGGGGGGTTTAGCATATGCCTGTTGATTTCTGCAGTTCAAAACCTGTTTCAGATGCAAGGTTAGTGTTTGTCTGTTATATTGTTGGATATGGTTTAATGATCTGCAGAGTGAGCTGAGGGAGAGAACTTCTGTGAAAGTATTTCTATCTTTTTTTCCTTTGTGTTGAAGCATCAAGGAAAGCGAACGTCAAAGTACTGGAGCTTGGGCATCTTCCTGAAAGCTCTTGAAGGGCACGTATCTTTCATTAAATGTGTACACACAGGGAAACTGCCACCTCTGTGTTCTGAAATCACTGCCCCCAGCTGGGACAGAGTCTGGGCATGTTTGTGATCCTTCTGCATCACAGCCAAGTGCAGTGAGTTTAGGCTAAAATGGCCTTTCATCTCACATGCCATAAGCTGTGGTGAACAGCCTTCCCTCCAAGGAAGCTTGTGCTTCAAGCGCGTGCCAAAATGTTTCCATAGATTGGATGTGTATACAAGATGAATAACGTTCCCCATCACTGTTTTTCCTTCCTAACTTTTTGAGTACAGGATTGGAAAATTATCAAGACCAGCTCACTGTTCACTTCCTTTAAATGCAGGACACTTTCTACCATCTGCTTGTGAAATATTGTTTCAGCTTCCATAAAAAACTAATCCAAACAAAGCAGCTACAAATAATAAAATGTTGAGTAAAAGCTACAGATTCTCTTGGAGATGAGATGTTGTGTATATATAATATACATGGCACCTGGATGTAATTCTAATCTTTCTGTCTTATTGGGTTATTTCATTCTTTGCTTATATCATGAAATGTGTTTTTCTTGCCTGTTTTGTACTGCCATTCCCATCTGTCCTTCAAGTAAGACGACACCAAAACAGAATTGAGAAATGGAGGAAAAAATGAGCAAATATTCACGGTAAACTTATTTTTAGGACCAAATAAATAATATGACTAAAGCAGATTTTTTCAATAAGTCTGTTAGTTTTGATTGTTGGCTCTGGATTTTTATCCATGTGAAGATATTTGTCACTGCTTCTCAGGGTGGTTGTCTTGTTGTAGATGAGGTCAGTTAAATGGCTGTGATAGCTCTCCTTTCACATGTCAGCATGGAGGAGAGTTTAACTGCTGCAGTTGGTCTAGGAGACTTGCCCTGAGCAGTATGTCAAGCCTTAGAGAAGGCTGGGAAGCTACAAGAGCTTGTTGTGATTCTTTTTTCCTTTCCCCTCATCCCATTTGGACAATTAGTTGCCTGATAAAAAAGGCATAATACTTCAGTGGAAGTATTTAACAGTATGCCACAGCCTGCCAAGTGCTTTCTCCATCTTACTTCGTGGCTGGGCTCATCATGCTGCAGATGGACAGGAGCAGCAGTCCAGCTCCTGCCATTCCCAGTAATCCACACTCTGGGGCACTGTTATAAAGCAGAAATATCACATGAGACATACAAAAATAACAAATTATACCAATTAAGCATTGGATCGTTTGCTGGTTTTAGTTTAGGAGTGGTTAAATTACAATATCCCAGAAGCAGTGGAATCCAGATAACAACCTGGCCCAGGACCTCTGACACTGAGGTGGAATACTGTAAAGGTCTGTTCTGCTGCACTATTGTAATATTATATCACACATTGCTACTTCTGAGGGCTTAGTTATGATTATTCTTCTGTAAGAGAAGCAAATTCCTTTAAGTCTGCCATATTTTTCACTTAAGTTCTCACAAAATTCAAGTTTCTTTTCAAACTCTTCTAAACTTAGATATAAAGATTATTAAATTTAGAAAAGTGCTGCTGTTTATTGGATGCTCTTTATAAATGTTGCAGTTAGGACCATTGTAATGAAAATAACATATTTATGTGCAAACTGAAATTCTGCTATAATCTTATGTCATTTGGATAACTGAAGTACAACATACACACAAAAAAACCCTCAAGTACTTTTCTATATTGCATTAAATATGGATTCAGTTAAGTAATCTAAATCTTTCAGAAAATAAAATGTAAATGTTAGACTTTTCATTCTGAGACTGCACATGTACATCACCTTCAGTGTTTAATTGAAGTGCTGATATGAATCAATAGGGAAATAATAGGGAAATGCAGTTGTAAATCTAGAGCTGAATGTTCAATTGTGAACAAATGGCAGTGGTGTCTTTGAGGATGTTCATCATAATTATTATCCCTTCTCCTGAGATGAATTGAGGCCCTTTTCTCTAACGTGATATTTATCCCTGTGGACCCCTGTTCTTTCTCTGAATTTAGAATTACTCCTATTTGTATTCCTTCTTGCAGAGGCAAGGGGCCTGGGGAGAAGCTGTTGTTTGTGCAAAGGCAGCAGTAGCATGATCCAGGAGTGCTGGCTCTTCCCTTGGCGGTGGAATGGCCTTGCAGTGCTGTTCACTGTGCAATTACCAACCTCTCCAACCTCTAGTTTAAACTTCTCCTCGAGAACACATTTCAGTGTAAGGAACCACAGTGGCTTCTTGCCAGAAGAGCTTTCCTTGCACCCAAGCACCCGGGGGGAAAAATACCAAAGTGCTTCAGTTTTCCATATGGATCTGCTCCCAGATCGTGATAGGAGAGGTTTTGCTTTTGTTTTCATGCCTTCATTCCCTCACCCTGTTCCCTCCCCAGCCCCGCTGCATTGCTGCTGCACTGCTGCCGCCTGCTGGGAACAGCCTGGGAAATGGGGAGGGAACATGGGACACATTTGCTCTCTTTCAAAACAGCTTCTGGTGGTACCATCGCCTGCGACAGCCAAAGCACTTGGCTGCCCCTGGGAAACAGTGATGAGAGTCTAGAGGGGTGTGCCAGGAAAGACAGGCAAGGGCAAGTGGGATACTAACAACAATTGAGATAAACTGAGGGACTACACTGAGCATCTTTAGGGCTTGTTTACAGAAGCACCTAATTAGCTCATTTAGGCAGTGTTTTTGCAGTTAGGGTAGTGCAGCAACAGTTAATCATTTTATGTGTCCCCTGATGGTGAAAAAATCTTGATAGAAATAGTTTCACACAGTGCCGTGTGCAGTTTTTTCCCTACAAAAATTATTTGCTGAATACAACTTCTTTAGTGGAACCAAGCGTCTGAATGCTTATGGTAGGTATTTTTTATTCTTGTGTAGTTTATTTTAGTTACTGTTTAATTTGTCTAAAATTAAATTATGTTCTAATCTGAGATGATTAAAATTCTACAAGCATCTCTAACATCAGTTCCATTATTGCTACATACATTTGTAAAATAAAGCAAATATTTGATCCTTGGTCATATAATTGTTTTCTTTTAACTTGGATATCAGGCCCCTTTGTCCCAATTACTTACAGAAGCACTCAAATTTTATAGTGTTTTAAAAAGAGTTTTTTTGTATTTAGTTTAGTTGCCTAATGCCCCAACAGAGCTCAGTACCCCAGTGCTTCTCCCAGCTTGGAAGCAAAACAGAATGCTTTGTTGGACAGAGGTTTCTAAGGTGGTGTAAGCAGAATGTACTGAAACTGCAAAGTGCCTTACCATTACTTGCTGCTGCTGAGCTATGAGGGACTTTCCATCTCTTCCCTCCCTTGTCCAGGAGCTGTGATCTTACATTTTTCTGTACAAACTGCACCTTTCTATGCTTTGTGTACCTGCCAAAATCTGAGATGCACCATTCTGTGTATGATTTAAGTTCTCCATGTATCTGGTAACTTACCCTAAGTAAGTATTATTTACCTCTTGCCCACAGGGTAAGGCAGTTTATCTCTGGAAGCTGGGAAATGTATCTGAAATGCATCAATAGTCACATCTCAGACCTGTAGACCCTGTGCAGCTTAATACCGAGGGTTCTGGACATCAGGCAGATTTGTGCTGTGTTATTGGTGGCAGCTGCTCCATTTGACTTGGAGGGAACAGTGACTTACACCACAACAGCCAGAATGGGCTGCTTGGGTCACGTGTAGTGCAGCAGCAGAATACAATTGAACTGAGTTCTTTGCCTTGAATCTCATGCTCTTGTTAGACTCTGCTGTCCATAGGATTATGATGGTTCATAATGCAGAACAGATTACTTTCATAATAATGTTAGTTGCATATTAGAAAACAAAGAAAGGTTTATCATATTTTAAGACTTCAAAAATGTTTTGTTCAGGTTGGTGTGACTTCCACAAATGGAGACTTGAAAGGATTTATAGATCAGAACCAGAGTCCAACAAAAGGTAAGAGAATTCTATTTGTATACCTAGAAAAGAACTATACATTAAGACTTATTTCACTGTATGTGGTTGATTCACATTTGGGAGACTCAGAATTTAAATGGAAATGTTTTATTACTGACATATAAGTGTCAGTAGAAAAGATTGGAAGATCTTCAGACTTTCAGAGGGGAAAAGAGGGTGTAGTAAAAGTAATTTAATTAGAGGCTAAAATAAGCCCATTTTTTCATTCCTTGATGGTGAATAATATGCCGAATTTCCTGATTTCTACTCCACCCTTAAAGTTCCCATACTCTGTTGTCAAAATGACAAAGAAGATTAAGCATGACTTCATGCTTTTAATTGTTCTGCACAATTATATTTTGTCCTGTCCTGTTTCATCTTAGTACTTATAGATTAATCACTTTTGACTCAAAACCAGTTTATGATCAGTCATAACAGCTACAGTATTCCAGTAAAAATAAAGCTGCAACCTCTTATATATATTAGAAAACTTGAGGATTTGCAATTCAGAAAACATTTCAATCAATCTTTCTAAGTAAGTAAAGTTTACTGTTATCCACTGCAATAAACAAATGCATGTACTAGCTGGAAGAATGATTTTTGGCTCATGGCATCAAAATGAGAGAGTCTAAACAGAAAATGGCTAAAGCTTTGGTATCTTCCTAGTTTTCTAAACTCTGCAGAACATTACAGACTGATGTTAGGCCTCTGAGAATTATTTATTGTGCATTGGTGAGATAATTGCCCTTTGTGCTTCATTATTTTGTGATTATTGTGTCATGGTTCTAGGGAAGAAGACTAAAATAAGTAGAATGTTTTCAAATAATTCCTGAGACAAGCAATGGGTTTATACAGAAAATAATTGAATAACTTTATAAGTACAGGACAATATTGTTAGTAGTAATATCTCAGTGATCCTTATCCCACTCTTTATCAGACTGTGCTCCTGGGATGATGGATGTATTATTTACCTCCATTTTGGTATATTTTCTACAATATTATGATCTAGTGAATTTTTTTTAACCTTGAGATATAATTAAAAATCGCTGACATTTCTTTTGAGATATAACATCTTGTTCACAATGGCTTACTCTTCTTAGAGAATCAAATATTCCATAAAAGCTGGAAAAACTTGTATAGATACAGCCAGTGTCTAAGCTATCTCTTACTTTCAATCTGAAGTGTCCTTTACTTATTTCTTTTGGCATGTCCACTGCTGGACTCTGGAAATTAAGGAGGGGGGAAGAAACTCAGAACAGGCATTCAGATCCATTGTATCTTTATCAGAGCTTTGTGAGCTTCCTAATGAAGACAGTTTTTATTGTTCTATCCATTATTGAAGTTAAACATTTACTACAGTAAAAATAAAGGCAGTTTATTGCTACATATCTGGGCCTATCTATAATGTGCCTTCATAGTATTGTTAGTCTGAGGCATGATGGATTTATGATACCTTCAAGAGCAAAGGAGAGAGGCCAATTGCTCAAAGAAGGATCTTCCTGAAAGTATCAGATTTCAAGTGCTAAAAATTATTGCTTAGAAAAGTTGCATTTAAATAATTTTTTTTCCAAATAGATAATTGTGGTGTGTGTTTATTTGTTATTTGCCTCTAGCACAAACATACTAATTTATTACCAATATTGCATTAAAGGAGCATTTCAGATTCCACTGCTGAGCCACAAGCACATAGAAAATTCCTTGCAAAATGTCTTCGTTTTTAATAATGAACTCTGATAATTTTTTATACTGTGAAATCTGTTGTGTAACCCTGGGTTTACTGGGTTTAATTTTGAAAAATGCTGAACTGTTCTAGGTAAACCCACTGCTCTGCCACTTTGCCCAATAACAGTGGAGTGCAGCCTGGATCTTTGAGGATGCTGTTCCAAACGGCAGGAAGGTGTCCTGAGACACCAAGTTGGCTGTTGCTCCTTCTGCAGTCTCTCTCTCTCTAGCATTAGCACCACGAGACAAGATTATGTTAAGGAAATTTTCTGTCTTTGTGTCATTAAAAATGTGTAATCAAAATAGCTAATTACTTGGCCCTTGCACTCCAAAATTACTCCCTCTGCTTTTCTTCTGTTCTCAGGCTTAACTTCCAAAATCTCCTTTTCCCCTGGACCATCTGAAGCAGTTACTCTGTTTCTGCTGTTGCAGTATCAGTTTGATCAGGCTCCATTTATCTTTCCCACCATTACCTTTAGAGTCCATGCTCGACCTCTGGGTATTTTCCTGGTTTATTTTGCTGCAGGAGAAGTTAATGCTCACAGACTTAGGTATTGCAATCTAATCTGTAAGTGTTAAAGTACTGCTGAGTCACTTCTGCTGATTTTTGAATCTGAATTAATGTTCCCAAAATAGGTTGAGGGGTTGTTTGGTTTATTTGGAGGTTCAGTTTTCTTATTGTTTCCTGTGTTTGTTAGTGAATACTGTTGTCTTCTTGCTGCAATTTTTTTTGAGTCAGGCTTTTTAGAATGCTTTCAGTACTTTTTTGTTCCTTGTATAGATGATGTCTGTGAAAAGGAAGGTTTCTAGTACCCAGCGTATCTAAATGCAATACAGATTTACTAAGGAATTTGATGTTTTAAATGTGATGATTGCAGAATCAAAGCACATACATCCAAATTTGTAATCCTCATAAAAAGACTTGCTGCCTAAATCTGAAGGGAACCAGATTTTTTTTCCTAGGTGTGTCTAGAAGAAACATCACAGCGCTCAGCAGAGCATTAACTCAACTGTTGTTCACTTTGTTTAGTGAACAATTCCTATTCAACAGGCAATTTACTTCCCTACATTTGTTGCCTTTAATTCCTAGGCAACAGGCTCTTTTGGCTAAAAGCCCTCCGTTTGGAGCTTGTTTCCTCAGCTTGAAATGAATACTCATTGGATCTGGGAGGCAATGCCACATGTGGATGGCTTTTGACTAATGGCCAGGGGCCACTTGTGCAAGGACCACCATTGGGTGAAATATTTTAAGTAGCCCATGCAGCACAGTCTCTTTTCATTTAGTCTTTGGTGTTGTAGATTCTTATTGTTACAGTCAAAATTGTTCAGCTCTGGCAGGCTGGACCGGCCATGCTTCATTTCCTTACCTGAAATTATCCAGCACACTAGTGATGAAAATGATTCCTGTAGGAGACCTGCATTTTAATTCTCTCAGAAAAACAGTGGTTCTGGTTCTCATTTAGTGAATGAATTCTCTTGGTTTGCTGGATGCAAAAGGGATGCTTCCTCTCAAGTTTTGGAAAGCAAAGGTGGCTGTTGCTGTTCCTGGCCTTGGGGATAGGTCTGTATGTATGTGTCAGGTATTCTTTTAGTGTTTCATCAGGGATTGTGCCTGTTGGGAGAAACACCTGGTATGCTCCATGCTAACAAGACTGTTACACTCCTGGGTGCCAACAGAATTTTGGTGCCTAGCAAAGTTAACTGACAGGAACTAAGGTATTCCATCATTCAGGGAAAATCCTAGTCTAAGTGGCAAGAAGTCCTTGTGGAGTTGGCCCATTCTGTTAAAAATATTAAGTGTAATAGTTCAAGTTAGTCCTTAAACAGGTATAATTAGATTTGTGATTGAGTTGGATAGTGACAATTCTGTTGTGGTTTTGGGGTAATTGTTGCAAGCTGTGAATGAATTAGATCAGACAAGCAGCAGAGTTCATATTAAAAAGTCGCATGTGTAACCAGAAGAATTTAAAATTTAATCTGTTTGGGAGACATTCCCCACGCTTCCAGTTTTGTAATTCTGTTCATATATATTACAAAAATGGAAAATCAAATCTTTTTTCCAGTCTTTCCAAGCAGAGGGCATGTCTGTATTACCACTTGCCCCATAAAACCACCTCACCTCCCTCCATGCATCCACATGGATGTCTGTAGCTTTGAGGGCTCCCTGCTGGTTTATACAGTCCCAAGGCTGCCTGATCTGCTGAGTGTTAGAGTTGCTTGGGTGTGAAGCCTTGTAATAAAATCAGTGTTTGCAATCAGATATTACTTGCAAAATCATTTTAGTGGTCAGTGAATCTTCATCAGCCCTGTTGGTTTCCAGGTGCTGCTGCCTTGGCTGCACAGCGGCGTGTGAGTGGCCACATGGAATAGTCCGTTTGTATTTCGGGATAGCGGCAGGAATGCCAGTGTCACATCTGCACGTGTGGGGAAGGAGAGGCCACCTTAACTTGGGGTGGGACTGGGCACAGCTCCTGCTGCTGGGGCTGCCAGCAGCACAGGATTCTTATGTTAAAATCTACAATGTAGACTAACACGATGGTTTCAATGAATCATACTGTCCTTAGGTAATACTTTTTTGTTACTATATTCCCAAATTCTATGAATTTACATGTTGTTCTCTGTTTATTGCTGTGAAGGGAAAAGGGAGTCCAGCCATAGACCACCAGACTTGCAACAGGCTCCAGGACAGAGGATATGTTAGTCATACTTGCAGAGAGATTGCTTTGGGTGGGAACCTTAACTTTTAATACAAGTTCACAGTGAACTTTGTTTCAGTCCATCTTTTTATTAAGCTGTACCTATTTTTTATTAAGTCCTGATTGAGCTTATTGCACAGGGCTGCTCTAATGGAATGAACTTGTTCATGATGTGCTTGAAGAGACCTGCTAAAATGACCCAGACATCAGAATTGGTTATCCATAGACCTGTACCTGGTACTTTTGGATTCATACAGCTGTTAACTCCTGTAAGTTTGTTTCAAATTGAGCAGTAAAAGACTGAAAATGTACTGTTCAGTGTAAGCCTAAGTACACTGAAATATCATCTACCCCATTTTGCTTTTTCTTTTCTACGGATCTCTTTGATTTGAGGTATTTCTAGATATGTACATGCTTCTACAGACTATGGAATTTTTAAAAGTTAGGTTTGTGGCCCAGTAATTTTATGCAGTTAATAAACAAATAAATGTCCCAAGAAAATACTTGTGTACTAATAGCATGATAATAATTCGGGTTTTCTATATGCTGTTATAATACCTGATCTTGGAGATCAGTTTATGCTGTAGTGTAATAAAGGATCCTGAGGGCACATCACATATGTTATTGCAAAATATCCTAATGGACTGCTGATGTTTCACAACTCTGAACTGGGGTTTTTTGCCACAGGCTGTATTAATTTAAATGGCTGTTCATTGAGACACTTTTAAAATGTGGACACTTGTTTAGAGCTCTGAATATGAAATCCAAATTACCAACACTTCCCCGGTGTTTTGTTTGGAAATTCAAAAGCTTTTTTTGTTGATGTAGGCATTGTGTGTAACCCCAGCTGGCTGGGCTGTGCTCCCCATCAGCCATGGTTTCCTTCAAACTGGCTATGACAGATTCTATAGATTCTCCAGTTGACATTGTTTCTGATTATCTTTGCAACTAAGCTGCAAAGACCTAACAGATTTAGTTATACAGGAAGAAAAATCACTAAAATCTCTTTAGCTTCGTATTTGTATAGAAGTGCATGTTGTTTGTGTGAAGTTAAGCTATTTAGGGTGCCACATAATGATTTAAAGTGAGTCTTGTGGGATGGTTCTGTGTGCATGTGAGTGTACATGTACATAAACATGAATAACTTTATCTGTGACTGCTTGAAGCTGAATGTCGTTTAAATTGAATTTTTCTTTGTGCATGCAAGTAAAAATATTGCAGAAATGCCAGGAGGATTAATAATTATGTAGTGACAATGTTTTTTTTAAATGTGAAATTATAGCAACACTGATTTCTCTCCGTGAGAAACAACAGTGGCGACTGAGGGATGGAAAAATAATTTATGCAGAAGCAAAGTGCTTTTGTTCTGAGAGAAACATACATATATGCACTGGCAGATTTTTATTTTGAGTTTGCATTAGTGAGGAGCAGGCTCAGTTTGGGGTGGCTTTATGTGTATTGCAGTTGAAGCTTCTCGATGAGAGTTTTAAGTCCGTTTCTTTCCCATGTGCTTGGGTTTCCATAGGTAAATGGGAATAATGACACTGACCTCCTTTGTGCCTTGAAAGTGCTGCTGAGAAACATTATATAAGAATTGAGTATTATTATACAAATCATTCTAGTTTGATCCATCTGAGCTGACCTTTTTCATCCAAGCAATGAGATTACCGTGACTCGGAGGCTGATGGGTCTCATTGTGTTCAGCTTATCACTGTACTCAGTGCTGTTGTGCCTTGGGACATAAATCAGTGTAATCTTTTTTGTCCCCAAATGATGGATGTTATTAAGACTTGGCATTTATTTAGAATTTGGTCATGTTTAAAGCCTTTACAGTTGCTTTGTGATAATATATATATAGTTACTTTGACCATATTTCTGCTTTCAGTTGAGTACAGAAATCCATTGAATGTTTTGTGGCATCTACTTCCTCCTACTTTTTCTATGCTGCTTCATAAATAAGACTTGAAGAGATTGCTCTTGTTGGTGTTTGCTGTTCTGTAATACTACTTTGCCTTCAAAACTTTAGAAATGACCAACTCCTCAGCAAACACAGGTGCCTTAATCTCAAGAACTTGGTGTAAAATACAGCAAGTGCCTGTTCCTCAGCTGGTTGTACTTGTGTTAACAGTTCCCACTTTGTAGTGATGCTTTTTCTGCTCTGGGAGTGGTCCTGGCCAGCTCCAGGTCTGGCAGTGGTTCCTGTGTCCCACAGACCTGGGCTGCTGCTATGCAAGGGCTGTGGGCAGGGCAGGGGGCTCTTGGAAGTTGCATTTCTCTTTTAGAGAAGAGCAGTGACTCTGGTGATCTGATCTGCAAAATCTGTCCCTTCAGCCTGGGGTGCTGATGTGATCTGTTTGGAAACACATTAACTTTTTGGAGCAACAACGTGAACCAGCTGTCCTGTTTGCTCTGAAGGGACTTGGAGAGGTGGTGTTTCCACCAATAGTATTTGTTAAATATTTGTAGCATTTAAGGTTACATGAGTATGTGGACCATAATGCTATGTTTGAGAAAAAGAAAACAATAGGGAGGGAATATTTTATTCATAAGTGATAAAGCTTTGTTTACTTATTTTTCAGCTGCTGACAAACATGTAGAACAACCTCTTACTGTTGTAAAATTGTAAAATTTGGTTGTTCTTTCTTTCTGTCCACTGTGGATGAAAGAGACCTCACTCATTAAAAGAAACTGGTCCCTTTCTATCCTATCTGCATTTAAAAATCTGCACATTCACATATTTATATTTACCCATGGAGAAATTTAAAAAGAAGAACAAAGGCAGGGAAACATTTCTTTGAACGCTTGATCAACTCTTAAGATGATTTTGACAGTGCTGCTGCCAAATGGGGGATTTGTGTGGGGATTAGAAGATGAAAATCTTTTTTTATTGACAGCAACTCCAGCCAAAAAGACATTTAAACACACACCATATGTAAACTGCTGTCTTTTTAAAATCAAGATCAAGTGATTTGAATGATCCTGGTATTTCCTGAAGTTGCCCTTATGGTGACCGTGTACATTTATCTGGGGAGCCCTGTAAAGGAAGGCACAGTGCAGCAGTGGCTGCTAATTGTGCTGCTGTGCTGACTGCATAGTGCTGTAATTCTGACACATCTCACTCTTATTCTGTGAAACATGACATCCCAGTGTCTCTTGCAGGGCAGGAGGTGTTGTTGGAGGCAGCTCTGTGGTGGAGCCCTGTGGTAGAGCTGGAAGCCAAATCCGACATTTCAGAATTTTACTGCATTTTGCCGTGTGACCTTATGCTGTCGCCACCAGAGAAAGTAGTTTATTTCTTTTCCCTGGTAAGAAGAGGGACAAGGACAAATAATATGAGAGCTGATCTTGGAGATAACAGGGTCAAAAGTTTCAGCTGCAGCAGAAAAAAAGAAAATTCCTACAGCAGTACTGGGAAGTGACACATCATTGATTGCAACAGCCCGCAGTGAGGGGGGAGACTGGATTTTGATGAGAATATGCTGGCACAACTTGGGAAATCCCAGGCAAAATCGTCTAGCAAAAGTAAAACTGACAAGTAGGAGAACTATTTTGAGCTCAAAATGGGAACACAGTGTATGTAAATCATGAATTGCTGTTTTGTGCACTCTGGCGCTACCTCACAAAAGATGTTTCATAATAGAGCAAGGATTTCCTGGGGGGGTGAGTTTGGGATGGTGTGGTTGTAAGCTTGTTTTTCTAGGTGAGTGAGGTGACTGAATAATTTATTCATTTTGTTGACTAGAGAAACAAGCAGTTTCTGAAGATGTTTTCAGATACAGATCTGCCTTTTGGAAAATTTACACAGAACAAGAAAACATCCTTGCCTCAAATTGTATGTATTTCTCATATCTCTGATTTTTTTTATAAAGGAGAGACTTTGCATATGTCTACATCTTTTCTACTTCTGTGCTGTAACTACAGAAGATAAAATCCTTTTTTAAGTACTCTTTTTCTATCAATTGTGTTGCTCCTGCTTGCTATTGCAGAGAAATTACATTACTGAATGTATGATTTTTCAGTTACCCCATGGCGGAACATAGGTGTGCTAGCATAAATTGTGAAAGAGAGACCATGATTCAGGACCAAGTGAGAAGAGAAAAGTGGGCAGTGGAGGTGAAGTGGTGATGTGAGAAAAGACCAGGGATGTCTAATATGAGCTTGGGCCCATGTGGGCTGAGCTGAGTGTTGGCTGCCTCCTGTGGGAGGAGGGCTGGTGTCTGTGCTGTGCTGAAGGAACCCATGACCTCAGATGCCCTCAGTTGCTGTCTGCAGTGCCAGAGCATAAGGAGTTCTCCAGGAGCCAATCCTTGTCCTCATGACTCAAGACCTCACCTAGACTCAGGCTGACTCTGGATTATGAGGCAGTGGCAGCTCTTCCTTACATTTGGTTGTGCCTCCAGACCCCCCACTGTCCCTGCCCATTTTGAGCAGGACTGTGTGTGCAAATGGGGGCTGGTGTTTGATCGATTCCCAACTCCCTTGCTTTGAAGATGTCCCAGAGAAAGCTGCTGCTGCTGCCACAATGTCCATGGATAAGCCAGTGATCTCACTGCTTGGAGAGGCTTGTGCAGCAAGTTGGAGCACTCCTGGGCTGTAACACAGTAGAGCTGCAATGACCATTTTGATTAAAACATTCAGTCCAAATAATCAATATACAGGATGCGATTTGGGACAGAGGAGGAACAGCAGTATTTTGAGGCTCTCAGCATTGAGCTGTGTGAAGGCAGGATGGGTTAGATCCGTAAGCAGACCAGGATCACAAAAATGATAAACATCTTGGGATGAGAACACGCTGGTTTAGAGATAACATGGTTGGCTTTATCTTGGCATCCAGCTGCCTGCTCTGTTACTTTAGGTAAGTTGTAAAGGCATCACTTACTCCATCTGTACAGTGGCAGGCTGTGATTTGCTCACTGCAGTGATGTTTGCAGAACACTCTAGTATAGGTGGATGAGGAATGGTTAAGGCTAGGAAGGTTTATGGATGCATATTTTCTACATGTGCTTATGATTATAAATAGGATTTGTATACCAGCTTCTTGTTGAAGTATTCTCATTAATTTTAACTTCTAATGCTGAGGTATAGCAGGCTGTGTGCTCTTTGTCCTAGGCAAGAATAAATAAATTGTTTCTGGAAATAAAATATGTTTAATTTTAAAGGTAAAATACTGAAGGTGTAGTTTGGTGAGGTGTCCTTGTGACATCTGCTGAAAGGTCTGGAGGCTGTTACGTGAGGGTGAGTTTGCAGTGAATGAGGCAAGAAAGCTAATCTGGTTCCAGAACGTTGAAGTGGTGTGAGAATTTGCCAAAGTGGTTTTCACAGGTTACGAAGGCAGTAATTTAAACCTCTTTTTACCACTCTCTTTAGGTAATATTTCAGTAATTACATTGCCAGTTTCCAGCACCAACTCTCCGACTAAGATATTGCCAAAAACCTTAGGACCAATCAATGTGAATGTTGGACCCCAAATGGTAAGTGTTGCAACCCTGGTAATGCCAACTTGTGTAACTGCCCGTGTGACTTCCTGTTGGTGTAACACAGAAACACGAAAAACAAAGATGTGAACAGTGTGAGGAACTTGCTGCTTCCTGCCCCAGCCACAAAGTGCCCGACCTGGGTGGGAGGGTGGGGACATGGGGGCACAGCAGGCTCAGCATCCCAGAATTGCCACTTCCAACAACACTCCTGTGTTTGCCTTTGGGGGACACCCGTTTGCCTGGCTTTGAGTGGAAATTAAAACAGCTTTACCAGCTGACATTTTAACAAAAGTGTATTAAGGAAAAAAAAAATCTTATTAAGAATGTTATTGATACTCTTTGAATGTTTTTAGTCATGTTCTCACCTGTAAATCTCCCTCCAGCATTGCCAGAGAGTGCATCGGATGTGCCACGAAAGATTTTACTTGTTGAAACTACTCTTCTTTTCCTGTCAATGATAATGGTATATGGGCATATATTGCCATTTCAGGGATTTTGGATCTAGTTTTGAGAAAAAATTTTGGTTTTCTGATGGCCAGAGAGCTAAAAAGCAATACCTAGAAACGTGAACAGTTTCTAGTGACCTGATGCCCACCTGCCAAGCCCTTAGCCTGAGTACAGAATCATTTGATGTGTTTTATAAATAATTGTGTTGGGCCTTTTTCCTGTCAGCATTACTACCGTTCTTTGGTGGGTTACACCAAAGGACAGCAGTACACCAAAGGGGCACACACATTACAGCCACCCCCCCACGGCTTTCCCCACTGTGTGGAGCTCTCCATCTGGAGCACTGGCCACAGGCTGCCGGGGAACAGCTCTGGAACAGCCCTGCTCAGTGCGTCAGTGCTGATGCACGTCTTGCTGGAGTGTGTGCCCTGTAGCATTGCACTGGAATAGTTCTGCCACAGAAGATGTTTTGTGAGTGCAATAAATAGCCCAGACCAGGGCAGAGCAGTCTGTTAATGCAGTTCCTACTCTTACAAGTGACTTCTCAAGGCCCTGCTTTTGGTTTAAGTGACCCCTAGTTGCAGTTTAAGTTCTATAGCAGATAGAAGTTGCAAAAGCTACTACCTGGTGTGAGACACACAATTTTTATTCTTTTTTCTTTTCATTTTTTCATTCTTTTATTCTGCTGTTTTGCAAGGATAGATCTATATTCAGAAAACATTTCCTTATTAAGTAGCCATTAAAGCAGGCCTTCTAGGACACCCAGGGTACAGCTGTGTTATGCCAGGCCATTGAAAGGAGAATGGCCACAAGCTCTCAGCAGTGCCAGTGTTAGCACTGCCTCGGCCTCCCACCTGTGTTACCAACACCCTGCTGCTGGGAGGGGGTGTTGGCTTTGTTTAGCCACTGCTCCAGGTCCTTCAAACCAGCACAGCCCCCGGGATCAGTGAGGTGGCTGAACGGTGACCATTGGTCTGAGTCCCCTGTGCCAGTGGTGGAGAGGGCACTGTTTGCTGGCTGGGTTCTTGGGTACGAGTGTCTGGTACCGTTTCTTTAGGTTCAGTCCGTAGGTGTGAGTTTAACACCGTGTTACTGATAAAGTGTCAGTGCTCGTTCCCAGGGGCCGCCAGGTGGCACTGCGGGCCGGGCGGGAGCGGCCCCGACACGGGACCCGCGGGGTCACGGCGGGTAACGCAGCCAGGCGGGCACCTCTGGCTCTCCGGGATCCACCAGGAAATACATCACCTGTACCACTGCTTTGGTTTCTCTAAATTTCTGTTTTCACTTGGTTCTGTCGAGCTATCCGTTTACAAAAAATAACTGAGATGAATTAATGTCATTAAGACAAAACAATACAAACGTGTTATGACGGTGTGGTGTCAGGAGGGATGTGAAATAACACTCAATGAGCTAAGGAAATGGGAGATTCTTCACATATAATTTATTTCTACTTGTTTAAACAATATTGATGGATACCAAACAAATTCTGTATACTTATTTGTTGCATATGTATATATATATATACATTTGCTGTATATATACACACTTGCTATGTGTATATATATATATATATACTGTATATTTACGAGGTTGTTGGATAAGTTAAATAGTAAAGGAAACTACAATGTTTAGTACAGTCAGTACTAAACATGTTACTTAACAAATGGAGCAAAGTAAAATAAAGTTTTAAAAAGTGAAATAAGGTATATGAGTAAAAAGCACTGTCCAAGAAACCTTGGTATGAATCTTATCATACTGGAATCAAAGTAATTAAATGTGTTTTATTTTAAAGATTAAGTAATTAATACTGTTTGATCTATAAATACTATCTAAATTCTTCTGGTGACCTACTTTGAAGAGTGAACTTGGATGTGATTTAAAAGTTGAGACCAGGTGTCTTGGTGTTAACCATTGTACCTACAATTTCACCAGGTTTGTGTAAATGTAAATTCTATCTACAGTACAGACTTTACATTGAATTGCAGAGGTACAGTGCTGTATTATTAGCTTGCCAGAATGCCCGGGGATCTTGTGAGTGCTAGAAACTGCAGGGAACACTTTGCCTGGAGCTCAGTTTGTCTTTGGTACCAAAGACAATTACAAGAGACAAATCCATTGGAAAGAAAGAAGGTTTTATTGATTACAGGGATCAAAACATTGCCTGGATGTACTCGTGGAGAAACAGCTGGGTGTCTATAGGTACAGATCCTATCTGCCATAGCTAGGAATTACTTCTATTTGTCTAGTTCTTGACCATATGAATAATACAGTAATACGGTACAATTAGAAAATGTAACAGTGTTGTAATTACTTTACTGTATGAAAATCTTCTGATGACATCTCTTCTGTATATTTTGACTGCAGCTTGCTTCTGGTACAGAATTATTACTACTTTTCTTAGTGCAATGCTTAGTATTTTGGGCTGTGGTAACCTCTCCTTTCTTAAGACAACAGTGGTTTTTATTCCTAAATTTTACAGATCATAAGCACGCCACAAAGACTGACCAATTCAGGGAGTGTTCTGATTGGGAGTCCATATAACCCAGCTCCAACAATGGTCACACAGACACACATCACAGAAGCTTCTGGCTGGGTCCCAGGGTAAGACTTTTACCATATTTAAAGATGTCTGAGGGCCTGTTCTGATATTTTCTGTTATTTATACTGTTGTATCTGTGTGTTGGCTTACAGTTTCTAGTTCTTGCACAGCCAAAAGGAGTATGGAGTATGTCTAGCCTCATATGCCTCATATGCACTTCTGATGTCTGAAGCATGTGAACACGAGTTACAAGCACTGGTCACTTCACTGTCTGCTTTAATTGTGGTTTGTGGCAGTGTCTGTTTCTTTGTGAAAATGGAGTCACAAATTCACGAGTCCTGTTATAACAAGCTTTTATTTTTTTCATGAATTCATGGTCTGTTCAAGTAGTGCTGCTGTTGAGCGTAGCAGTGGGTACCTACAGGGGGAGAGACTGTCAAAATCACTTCAAGAGGCAATTAAGAATAAACTCTGATGTAAAATTTTGAATGTAATCAGTGTGGTATTTTTATTACTATTTTATATTAGCAACAAGTTCCATGGGTTCTGAGGTACTCCAGAGGAACGTGACATTCTTTATCTCTTCTAATTAAATCTGGTCCTTACAGTGTTTTGTGGTATTTTGTTTTAATACCAGTTCTGCTGAGCTTAGCTGTCTCAAAATAAAGATGTAGAGCTTTGCCTCTGAAAAAATAATTTATTTCTGCATCTAGGTTAATTTTTCTAATCAGTGATGAATGTCAGTAGTACCTTTTCAGCTTTAGGCATGAGAAATGGAGCATCTAAGAAACAACAACTCTGTAAGCTAGGACTGTCATAGGCCTGTACTTCCCAATCACTATATTCCCACCATAGAGTCGATCAATTGCAGGCCCAGCTGAGCAGTTTTTAAGCTTTATTTCTTTGCTGACTTTGTGTTCATTTCCTGAAATACCTTTTGAATGCACTCAGTTCTGATTTTATTTGAAAAAGGAGTTGTGAAAGATTACTTTGTTTCTGCATATTTTGTGAAATGTGGAGGCCAAGCAGATGTTCTTTCAGTACCCAGAGGAGGGACAAGCTCTACTTGTCACAGCAACTTGCCAAACCAGAGAATCAACACCCATCACTTTCTTAAGCTTCATCCAAACCCAGTGATGGGGGTTCCCAGAGCAGACTCGTTCCTCCACCACCAAGGAGAAGCACCATCCTTCTCTTTGTGGACTGTCAGAGTTGAGACACGGGCTTTCTGAAGAGCCTGACTCCTGTTTCAGCCATTTGAGTAAGATGACTCCAGGCAGACCAGTTAATACTGATCCGTGTAGAAGTCCATACACGGGTCATATTTTCATCTGAGGAACAGAGGTGGGGAAGGGTCCGTGGTGTTGCTGAATGGAGGCAGTGAGCCCTTGCTGAAGACAGTTCCACGAGACTGCAAGTCCAGACTACTTGCTTTACCCGTCGTTTACTCCACAGATTCCAAATTATTTCCAAAACCAAATGGGATGAGCATATTCATTCTCAGGGCTCCACACAGCCCCCAGCAGCCTGGTGCACAGGCCAAGGGCCAGCTCTCCTCTCGCTCTGCTCCAGGGCCCTGCCCAGGGAAGTGCTGCAGCCCCCGCCCCAGCCGCACTCAACCCCCAGTTAAGCACCATGGACAGGGATCGCCGAGGCAGAAATCCCACTGCTGCTGCCCGGGGAGAGGCCTCCTGTGCTCTGCACCGCAAACAAGTACGTGCTGGCTTTCAAGGCACAGGTCTTCAAATCCATCGTTCTTGTTCAGCTCCCTCACAGTAGGGTCAGGTCTCCAGCTGTGTGAGTCTGTGCTGTGACCCCGCTTTGGAAACACAGGGAAACAGGGAACGTAACTTCCCAACAGCTCTCGGGCAATGTACCTTGTGTGAGCTGCAGGAATAAATGTGAGTCTGGGAGACAGCTCCTGTTTGCTGTGGGTATAAATGGATAAGGAACAATAAGGAACGACCAGTGACTGCAAACTGCTCATCCTGTGCAAAATTCACGCCAGCTGCTTCCTCAGAGTCTCTCTCTTCAGCTCTGTCTGCATCAGCCCTAATATGAACATGTTTAGTGGTTTACCTTGGTTTTTGTTTAAAGATTTCAGAACATTCAATGGCCTGAAAATACAGGATATATGTTAGGCACTGTTTAAAGACATTTTTGTTCCACATGGAGGAATTTTAAATAGGAATTTTCAAAGGAGCCCAGCTTCTCCTTTTTGATGGACTTTGGTTATCTAGTTCACATCAGCACTTTTGTAGTTCCAGGTGAAGTGACTTACCTAAATTTATATGGGCAAAGCATGGTAAAATTGGGAATAGAACTTGTCTGGCAGTGAGCTCCAACAACCTCCTCCAAAAGCCCTAACCACCTTCTCTCAGATTTTGTCTGTTTCCCTTTTGGGAAACATGTAACAGCAAACACCGGATCCAGCGAGGCTCTGCATACTGTGATTTTAGTGGTCTATAGATATTATGTTATTTTCATCTTAAGTTTGAATTGTCTTTTCTTAGGGAGCGAAAACGGACTCAAGAAATTATAGAGTCAGATTTTTCAGAAAGGTGAGTATTGCTGAACATGTATTTTATCTGCACAGTCATACCTGTTTTACTTCAGATCTGCCCTTAAGAGGGATGGGTGTCCAGTTCCTACTTTCAGTTTTCACTCCTTCACATAAAAGCTGTCTGGATCTTATTGCTTGTAGTTATAATTCATTCCTTTTAGCTTTATCACTTCCTGATAAATAAATTTGCTGTTTCAGATGATACCAGGAGTTGTGAAAAACAGACTTTCAGAAACAAGATTGTTCTAGTCTTCCATGTGACAAATACTTGTAAACAAATTATCTTTTCCTTTGCTTCTGAAACTTTTTTTGAAAGCATTCAAGGTGGTTTTATTTGTTTACCTGTTGAGGTTGTTCACATTGAATATCTGTGTAGGGATTGGAAGTGTTGGGGTTTTTTTTAATCTTCTGGTGTTCCTGTTCTTTTTTTTTCTTCTGTGTTCTGTTTTCATAAATACATTCTAAATTTTGAAAACCATTCTTTTACATTAACATTTTAATATTTTCCTTAGCTTGTTACTGCTGGCAGAACTAGGCCTTTTTCCGTAAAATAACAGATCTCCCTGAAACATATTACCAAATGAACTTTTCAGACTGTCATTAAAAAAAAACCCAAACCCAAAAACAACAGAGCTGAACTTTTTAAAGGCTTCTGTTGTATCCACATCCAAATCTAGTTTGTGTGAGAAAACCAACTGCTCCTGTTTTTTTCTATAGCTATTAGCTAAGCTTTTGCTTTTCTGGAAGAAGAAGGTGAATGGAAAGTAACCCTGACAGTTGCCAGTTGTTAATTTGGCACCATAAAACCCAATGAATATGTACTCATTCTCCACAAAAGAAATTCTTGTACCTCTGTCTTAACTGTGATGGCACTTAGTTTAACTCCCCTGATGGGCAAGTTTAGTATCTCTTGCTGTATTTTAAATATTTAAATAGGGATGTCTGAGCCTTTCTATTTTAGGCACACACGTGAGAGATCCCCATGAATCTGGGTTCCAGGCACATAAACACCCTGTGAGATTTTCCTCTTTTTTTTTGGTTGTTCTCTTGTGAAACTACCTGGAGATGAATTCCAAATCTATTTTTAAGCATCTTCCCGCAGCATGTGTTCAAATACAACCCATGTAGTAATAGCCAAGGAAAGGGAAAGGGCTCCAGTGCACTTTTTTGCCAATTTGTAAGAAACAAGAAACTGATGTAAAAAAGTAGAACAGTTTTGGTTTTAATTTAAATGGTCCAGATTCCTGTTGCAAAAGGTAGACCCTTTACTGTGTAACACAGTAGCTTATTAACATTCAATGTATTAAAATAATATTTTTCTCTTTCCAGTAAGAGAAGCAAAAAAGGAGATAAAAATGGGAAAGGTCTGAGGCATTTTTCAATGAAAGTTTGTGAAAAAGTTCAGCGTAAAGGAACAACTTCATACAATGAAGTGGCTGATGAGCTGGTGTCAGAGTTCACAAATTCCAACACCCACTTGGCTGCAGACTCGGTAAGCAAAGAGGGGGTGAAACTGTTATACCATTACAGATTTGTCTTGTTCATCATGGGGTTCTGTTCCTTCTGGTTCTGCACTGTCCTGCCACAGTCCATACTTTCCTTCACTTACTTAACTACTTCTCAAATATAAAGACTTATCCTCAGAAATTCAAAAATAGAGAATTAAAATGAAGAATTGAACTCCCTCTAAATTATAAACAAAGTAGACAAGTCCGCCAGAATAATTAATTTTAAGAAAAGGCTACTCTTGCACCCACCATGTGTGCTCTTGTCTGGCTTTTCAGTAGTGACAGACTTGCCATGGTGGGAATTTCCTGCACAGATGCTTCCAGCAGGCCTGAAGCTTCCACTTGTAGCCAGACATGCTCATGTGGTATCCAAGGAGTAGCACAGGTGAAGGATCATATTTTAATAGCACTCTGACTTGAACTGCTATTTTGGCATTTTATCTTCTACATATCTAGGATGTGCTCAATTGTTTCTCCTTTTTTAATTCTTTCATTGTAATTAATGCTGAATTGTTTTCTTAGCAGGCTTATGATCAGAAAAATATTAGACGGAGAGTTTACGATGCCCTCAACGTCCTGATGGCAATGAACATCATTTCAAAGGAGAAGAAGGAAATCAGATGGATTGGCCTTCCTACAAACTCAGCTCAGGAATGTCAGAATTTAGAGGTAAAGGGAGGTACATGGGAAATTCTGTTTAGTTCCCAGGTTGTGATAATGCAGTTGCTCTTCTTTACAAGAGAGTTTTTTTCTCAGTTTGGAACTGATTGGTTTTGATTCTTGCACACTATGAAAATACAACTTTTGATATTGGAATAAACTGAAAGGATACATTTGATTAAACTTAGTTCAGCTTTGTTTATTTAGTGTATGTTAGGTGAAGTTTTTTAAAACCCCAAGCTGTTTACCTAACAAAAATGGACAGTGGTGTAATAGCTTGAATTAACCAGAAGAAAGTCAAAAGAATAGAAGTCCAATTCTCTATTAATGTCTGTACTTGGAAATACAATTCAAAGGAAATTAAATTGAAAAGTAATTCCTGCTAGGATGTCAAATACTAGTTATGAACTGCCAGAAAAACAAAAAAGAAGTTTAACTGATTGGTTATTTCCATTATTTTTCCAGCATGCTAAGAGTTACAGTGTTTTTTTGTAGGGATGCCAGAATTTATATGCACAAATGTTGCTTGTCCTTCAGGCCAAATGTGCTATAAATAAAACCACAAGTCACTGTATTTACTGCAGCGTGCTGTAATGGCTGTCTGCAAATACATCTTAATATTTACTAGATTTGTGATACTTGTGCATTAGGTATCTTAAGAGGTGGGTGGTGCCTTTCCAGTACAGAACAGCTCTTTTTGTGCAGTCATTTACATCAATTGTCTTTCTAGATGTGGTAATAGAAAAGCTTTTACTGTTCTTGTCCATTACAGCCACTTGGCAAATACACCCACCCAAGGAGAATGCATGTGCTCAGTAATTATACTCCAGGGTGGGTTCTTTAAATTATGGATAAATTTACCTTTTGCATACATTCATGTGAATGCATTCTCTTCAATATAGGTTATTGTTACAAATATGGAACTTGAATTTCCTTGTGTTATTTTCAATGATCATATGTGATTCACTGTTTCAGGCTCTAATTACATATGCACAAAATGAAAGCCAGGCATATTTTTTTTTAAAAACATTGCTTCCTCTGATATAATAGAAGAGAATGTAAAATACAGCTGCATTTTTATGGTGTGAAAATCAGAATTAATTTTGCTTTTAAAGCTGTACAAATTGCCAACTCTTCTTACAGTGTAAATCGTAATAAGATTACCAGTACAAAAAAATTGTTATATAGAAACCATGCCTAAATGATATCTGCACTGTTTATTGGTTTTAAGAATCCCAGAAAAAAAAGTCATTTACTGTGCTCTGAAGGAAGTATTTTAAACATTGAAGTGTGTGAGGAGGGAACCACCACAGAGCAACACCGTAAATAGGACAGGGGGGTTGGGCCAGCTAAGTTTTAAAAGACTATCATTTATTTTCAGGGGTTGAATGAAGAGGTAATTTAAGGGTTTAATATTTTGGGGAGCAATGATACAGTGCTGGCACCAACAGGATGAGGAAGAACCCCTTGTAACCATGATGACAATTGTCCAGTTCTCTAGTATTGCCCTGGAGGACACTCCAAACACTGCTGTACCTGCAGGGCCCAAAGGCATCCAGCACTCCAGCTGTCCCAAACACTCCACACCCCGGGGGAGGATGGCTTGGCCCCATAAACTGCCATTAACAAAACTCTTGCAAGAGAAGGGTTCTGTGCTCTTATAGAAAATGTTACCTCTACCCCCTTTTTGGGGTAGAGGTAATCACAAGATTTGTGCAATCTTGTGAGTTTAATGGAGTCTCAAACAAAAAGAGGTCACTGGAAAGATGGAGGTGATGATCCTGAGCCCAGCCTCCAAACATTTCTGTCTAGTAGGTTGCAGTTAGAACAGTGGGACATGCACAACTGCCAAAGAGTGGAGGGCAGAAGGAAAAAAACCCTGAAAATAAAAAACACAAACCCCAAAGCACCCCCTCGAGCAAGTGTTTGATTTGGTGCTAACTGGCACTCAGTTCACAATACAGGAGAGCGATGGGTGGGAAGATAATAGTCTCTTGTAATAATTAATTCCTTACTGGAGTTAAAATTGTTGACAAAGAAAGAAATTACAGTTTGACAGACCTATTTACTGGAGAAACTCATATGACCACCCAATTCACCCCGTTTTCAAAGAAAGCCTTTCAGTTTGGCACAATGCAACAGAGAGGTAACTAAGGAAATATCTTGATGCATTTACATTTATCTTTTAAGATAGAAAAACAGAAGCGGATTGAAAGGATAAAACAGAAGCGAGCCCAACTGCAAGAACTGCTGCTGCAGGTATATCTAATTTTAATTTTTTTTCTGTAAATGAAAGTACATTTCCTAAACCCACACATTTTCATACAGATGCAGTCAGATATAAGAGAGCAGTAGACAGTGAGTGGTGTCACAAACAGCACCTGTTTAATAACTTCCAGAGAACAATTTCAAAACTAATTCTTTAGAGAGAGAAGTGGGTGATAAAGGAGAGGGGAAAGAGAATATAGATCATGGGAAGAGGGGGAATTTTTGTTAACTTTTGTTTCAGTGTAGCGAGCTCCTAGTCTGAGGTAATAATGCTTTAAAAGTACCAGAGAAGACCTGGACTCCAGTGCCTTTTCCAAAGGAACGGGGAAGCTTTAGTGCTCCTTTATTGTTTCTTCTCCAGGAGTGTGAGTCATTAGGATATGTGTGAAAAATTTGCCTTTAACTTCTGTTCCTGGTGAACTTCACTAGTGCAAAGAGAAAGTCAGGCCACAACTTACTTTTTGACAAAAGAAGGTGTTGAGAGTTGGTAAATAAGACCTCTGATATTTCATTTCCTGGAAACACTGATGTCTGCTCTTTTATTGTCAGTGATCCTTTTTTCTTTTCTTTTTTTACAGCAAATAGCATTTAAAAACTTGGTACAAAGAAATCAGCAAAATGAACAGCAAAATCAAGGCCCTCCATCTTTGAACTCCACAATTCAGCTGCCCTTCTTAATAGTCAACACTAGCAAAAGAACAATTATAGACTGCAGCATATCAAGTGACAAGTGAGTGTTTATGGAATCAATTTGTAGAATTTTATTTTCTTTATGGACTGGAATTTTTCTTAAAACAAACGAGGGAAATTTTTCTAGTTTACTAAAAGTCATTATTGTATTTTACATTTGCAACTGTCACTCCATGGGGTTACTTGTTGTTTTGGTTTGGGTTTTTTAATATTTAATGCAACTGCAGGAGTAATAGGAATGAGTTTATCAACACTGCTTTACAACAAGTTAAGCTTTCATTGTTGTGAAAGGCACTTCAGGCTGACATTTCAAAAAGCATCCACTGCACAGAAGAAATAACTGAATGAAACCATATACCAGGACAGCATCACCTTTTCATGAAGCCGTGTGGTACTGCTGCTGAATATTTACTCTTCATATGCCAGAAAACTGTATGCAGTCAGAAACAAAGGTGATCCATGTGACACAAAAGTAACGTCCTAAAGGTGATAATAACAACTTTGAAAGTGTCTTTTAGCACCAAAAAAGGTGGCACTTAGTTCTTTGAAGGAAATTACATAGAAATTTGAAAGACTGTCTTTGTAAGCAAACTGCTATACTTGCATTTATATTAATTTGAAAATATTCCAGTTACATAATTCTGGTGCTCTTCATCCTGTGAAAATATGGCTGCAGTGTGAGGTGCTGTTACTTTAACTGGTAATCGGATCACAATAGTTTATCAGCTGAGAATAGCTGGCTTTGCTTTAATACTGTAGATTACAGATTTCACTCTTGGTGTGCAAATCCTGGACTGAACTGTGTCAGGCAGCAAAAATAGACAGGCTCTAGTAACCTAAGCACCAACATGCAAAACAGCAATACTATTAAAAGTCGAATTTTTGTAGAAAATTGGACTGAAGTCCAATACATTCTGTGACAAAACTTTTGGAATACTCCCATCAGCACTGCAGTTCACCAAGCTGGGAATTTTAGGATCAATTTTGGTTTAGCATAATTATGCCCTTATTTTATAGTCACACTATATAGTTCTTTCTGCACTATTGAACAAGGCTCTACATTGAGCTTTGAAGTCATTAAAAAGTTGAACAATTCCATACTGAAACTTCAGAACTGTTGCTTTGAAGTTGTCAGAGGTTAAACTGGCATCTGGGATCTAGAGCAGTGTAGCACATGTGTAACAGCCTCCAACTGTCTGAAAACACTGCTACTAAAAGTGAGCACACCAAAATTATTTAAGTTGTCAATACTTCAGTTTATATAACCTGCTTTGGTATTACTGTCATCTGGAGGTCATGAAGTGTACGACCCAAATTAAACAAGCTTTCCACTGTGGTTATTATTTGTGCAACTGATTAGTGGCAGCAGCAATATGTAGATAAAGAGTGCCAGAATCTGCTCTGTTTTAAGCACTGTTACATTGATCTGTTTAATAAGGCAGTTAGCAAAAGTGGGCACTCAGTTTGGAGAATTCACATCCTGTAGTTTATTGGAGAGTATTTGTGCTGCTTAACTCCATTACTGGTCAGCTTGAGTGCTTGCCCTGCACTTGGTTGCAGTCCCAACAGCCCACTCTTTAAAGGGCTTTCATTTTTCTTTCTTCTCCAACTAACATTTATATGAAGCATTGGACTCACATCCATTTTCCCTCTTAATGTGGTTCTGCTGGAAGGAATACAGGTGCAAACCCAAGAGATTTTACAAGTAATATGGGATGAGTCATAAAAGAAATGGTGCCTGGAACTGACAATTGCACCCAGCACAAAGCATTATAGCACCAAATGACAATTCTGTGCACAGACACAAGAGCTGTAACACTTCCAAGCTGACTGGCTCCAGGTATAGGAAAGCTAATATTAGGAAAAAAAACTGTCAAGAAAATGGGCATGTGACATGAGCTTGGAGAGCAAGTGGAAGACCCACCAGTGAGTTATCTTTCAGAGATTGTATCTCGTGGATGGGTTGCTTTTCCAGGGATAAAGGTTTTGTCAGCAGAAAATGAGGGACTGGGAACCAGCCTTATGTTGTGATGCCGGGAGCAGCACGGTCCAGGCTTTTAATAGCCTGTGATCATAGCTTAAGGCCAGTCTAGATACCCCTGCTTTCCTTAAAGCTGTCTTAAGTTTCACAGTTAAGTATCACAATTTCCACTTTTATATGCAATGAAAAACATTTTCAGAGTCCTGCAGCAGAAGTGGTGGGTTGTGAACAGACAGGACTGAACAGACTGCTTTGCTAGCTGCATCCAAAAAAGCAAAATTATACCAAGGTAAATAGGTCAGTTCACAGGAGGAGTGTTGCACATTAGAACAGAAAGTGAAATGTAAAACAAAGCAAAACCAAAATAGTTATTTTGGTGACAGGGCTGCAGGTGACCTTATTGGCTTTAGTGCAAGTGAACGTTCATGTTAATAAGGCCTTCCTCTTCCCCTTTGAAACTACTTAATGAGATTGAAAATTCTAGACTTTCTTCCTGCAGTGGTGAAGTTACTTTAATTGAGAAAGTGCCATTTTAAACCCTGTAGGCAGGAGAGAGAAAGCATTTGTTGCACTTCTCTTTCCCTAAGGACCCCTTACAGAAAATGAAGAATCTAGACACTTACCTCATTGCATACTAAAAAAACTGAGTAAGAGTAAGCAAGAAAAGCACAGCTGTGCTCTTTTCAAAACCATCTCACTTTTAATTTTTTACATGCAGATTTGAATACCTCTTTAATTTCGATAACACTTTCGAGATTCATGATGACAGTGAGGTGCTGAAGAGAATGGGAATGTCCTTTGGGCTCGAAGCAGGCAAGTGCTCAGCTGAGGACCTAAGAACTGCAAAATCACTGGTGCCAAAAGCTTTAGAAGGCTATATCACAGGTAAGTTAGATGGGACTTTTAAATGTTGTTCTGAATCAAATCCATAACCTTGATTAACTGAAGCAAATTTAATTATATTAACCTAAACATTTGAAGTTTTATGGGACCTAGTAGGGTTGGTATATGAACCAGTTGTTTTACTGTTAATTCTGGAAGCTATATCATAGTTGTCCTGTAAATTCAATTCACTGATTTATAACAACAAACTTCTAAGCGAGCTGCATTATGAAGAAATTATTTCTTAAATAACTAAATTGATACCAAGAACAGATTTTCATGCATTAGTATTACTTTTGAGTAACTGGATGAACGGAGGAGCAAACTGGAAAAAGGCAGCTCCTCCCAAGTTGAGGAAAAGGAGAGAAAAAGAGCATCTTGAACTGGTTGAGTGTAATCCCTCAGGTGCCAGCAGATGCCATCTGAGAACTGAGCTCTAAATAAAGCAAGAGGCTCTGAAGGCTTCAGGACAGAAGTCCCATGCGGAGGCTTTTACCTCCCCTGATTGAACAGGTCGTGCTTAAACAGACTCAAACCTGGAACTCACTCAGTGTTGCATCACTGGACTAGAGCTGCTAAAATTTGTGATCTCTTCCTTTAGTCATTGTCAGAGTTCTTCTTGCTCTACCCACAGCTTGAACTTAGCCCAACATTTTCTGAGGTTTCTGGAGGGACTTTATCTGTAAAGGAAGTGTTACTCAGTGAATTCCTGTGTACAGACCTTGGTTTGTGAGCAAAAGGAACAAAGCTATTGCCCTGACTTCTCTGGTCTTGTTTAAACTACAGTAGTATAAAACTGTGTCTTTCACAGGAAGGTTGGAAACTTTAAACATTTCACTTAATTTTTTTAAAACTTTCCTAAAATTGATTCCCTTCAGTTGGCAATATTTAATCTTCATGTCAGGATCTGTAAAATGCAGGCTTTATATTAAAAAAAAAAAGCCATTTTGTTTGCTAAGAGAAATATAGTTAAGTGGTCAGGAAGTTGAACACATGTTTTTGTATTCTTGATTTAATTATGTGAAAGAATTAAGAGCAAAACAATTCCTTAAAATTTGTGATGTCAAAACACTGGTGGATATAACTTAAATTCACTTACATTCAGTAAAATTAGTACACTTTAAATAGCTTAACATTTCAAACTACATCAAATGTGCTTATGTTTATCAACACTTGTTTGTGTTTTCCTGGTCCTCTTGTCTTGTGCATTTTAAAACTAAGATTTCATATTTTAATTTTGGTAAATTTTGAAATTACACTTCAAGTCTTTATAAGACAGCACTGGTACCAAAAAGAGAAGTTGAAAGAAATCTTGATTTGTTCCTTGCAAATTCTTTCAACTAAAAATTATTTACCATCAGCAACGTAAGAGAGGGAAAAGGAGTAGAACCCACATCTTTTTAATAGTGTTGCAATGCTTAAGTTACTTAATTGCTCCCATGTGTCCAGGATCAAACTAAAATTTCTTTTTAATTTTAAACCTGCATTAATTTACCTTGAGAGAACAGGGTTTTTTTACATTTGCACAAACCCCTGTGTCATTACACTATTTACTGAGTATTTCCCTAGTAGCAGACCAGCAGCCAGGACCCTATAGAGCCTTTAATTCACAGGAAATGCATTGATTTTATTTTTTACTCAAATTGCATTGAAGCAATGGCTCACATCCAGATGTGGGTTACATTCAGCTGTTTCAGCCTCTGAAAAAATGAGCCCAGAGGTGCTGCTACCAGCACATGGACATTTATTTTAAAGGCTTGTTCTATCTGCTGTTTGCCACTTAATTACACAACACTAATCTACAGTTAAGATGTGAATTGCACAGTAGTGGTTTCTATTGGCAGTAAGTGACAAATAAGGGAAACAGACTGAAATGTTGTGCACGGTACCTGAAAATCCAGCATTTGCTTGCTTATCTATTTTTGGTTAAGTGTAACTTTCCATTTTAACCTTGGGAGTCTTTAAACATTGTTTCTTACACTGCAGGAGTAGTGAAATAAAAGGTTTCTAGAATCCATGGTTACTTCTACAGCTGTCATGATGGCCCTTTTAACTACACGGGCTTCAGTTACTACTATACAGGAAAAACAAATCAAGGTCTCCTATTTATTCCCCAAGTAAATTTATTGTGATCAAGATTTATTGCAATCACAGTAGTCACTCCATGAACTCAACTGCTGTAGAAGCTAGTCCTGTTCTAATATGTCTAAGTAGGTAAGTAATTTCCTGTGCAATGTTAGTTTGACCTTTGCCTGGTCATTTTTTCAGATAATTCCTGACTTCCAAACACTAACAATAGTTTGTACTGTGATGCTTGCCAGTAGAACTTGAGGAGCAGTTGGAAGAATGCAAGTCTAAACCAGTTAGAATAAAGAAACTTAAAATAGACAAAAAACCTTGGACCATCTCAGCTTTGGAAAGAAACAACTTTCTATTTCCATTAAACAGCCAAATAAATTGCTTGGAATTGCTGAACTGATGATGTGTGCATCAAAACCTTATTAGTGTATTTTCTTTTCAGGAAGATCATGTATTTTAGCCATTTTTCAAGTGCCCAAATTTTATAAAAGTAGTGTCTTCTAGGTTTGCTATCAGTGTCATGATGTCTTAGCAAAAAAAGTGTTGCATTTTTGTAATGTGCATTTTAAGTACTACATTGGTGTGTATGGTATGACTGCCATTGAAATCACCCAAAGCTAAGGCATATAAACATCACAGAGTTTATCTTAAATTTGTTTGTTACATGCTTTTCTGTTGCTTGACTGTCCTAACTGACAGTGTCTAAAACAGGACACTTGCACCAGCTTAAGATGCATTCCAGGGTCCCAGTCCTAGTTACACATTCCTGCCCATTTCATTTTGAGCCAGGTACTTTCCTGTCTGCTCTTCCTGAGCTGGTTCTGGGTACTAAAGTACAATCTTTTTGTCTGGCAGAGGAGTTTCTGACAATTAAACGAGTAGAACTCTCCAGCCAAGGGCTCAAACCAGAACAGCTCAAGTGTGAAGGAGGGAGTGAGGTTGCTGCATGAGCAGAAATACACCACTAACTGAGACAAGCATGAACTCATAGAACCATATCCAGAGTAACATCCTGTGCCTTTTGAGCCATGCACATGCTACAGGCAGTTAATGCAAAACCAAGTCCTGCCTTTGTTAGTTGAGTCGTGACTCCTAGAAATGAGACTACAGATAAAAACAGGCAGGCAATAAAAATTCTGAGGCACTAACAGTTGGAGTAACAGCATCCCACTTTGTGTATCCCACTAAGACAGTGGGCAGAGAAAGTGGTGCAGTTTAGGACAACACTTCTTTTTTCTTCCCTGCATGAAGAAGTGCTCTGCTACTTACCTGTATAATAAGCCTTGACTGGGAGGCAGGCTGGAGTTGGAACTACAGAGCCAAGAGTACCCCTGACTGAAGGAGTCTGTTGAGCCATCAACAACAATCCTATGCAGCACTTGTACAGTAACTACTAAAGCTGCTCAGGGTATTGCTTTAGAGCCTTCTCATGGAAAGTACAAATTTCTACCAAGGGTATCTGCTGCAAGATATGCCTAGTTCATAATAAGAATGCCACTTTTAGATTGGACTGTATCACCTCAGGAAGGTCTTTCCAAGCTGCTTTCCCTGGTTCCTAAGTGGAGCTATCAGTAATTGATCTATGCTAGAAGAAATAAGTCTTTCATTGTAGGCAGATTTCTATTTTGACAGACTTTTCCATACTGGAAATGGCTTCAACTCCCTGTCTTTCACAAACTTCCTTTTTTCCCTGGCTCCCCAGAGCCCACTGAAAAATAGAATTTAGAAGTGTAAGGCAATGAAAATACAAGGTAGGGATATGCATCTGTGAACCACCTTTCTGCCTTGTCCAAAAGCCATGCTTTCATCTACCTTGCTCTTCAGAAAGGAAAGGTACCCAGCTCTTATCCAAAAATGTTAATAAACCACAAGATTACTAGCAGTGTCTTGTTATTCTTCTGGACTATTAAGCATGTACATACAGGTACACTCCTTCAAAATACCAGGAAACAACACTGTGGTACATCTCTGTTAATCTAAATACAATGCAGTCATTCCAAATGGCTTAGCCTCCTCCTGCAAAGATAGGAGGAAGCTGTCAGAACATGTTCTCTGTAACATCAAACCTCATTTAGGGCAATCTTAGTGAAAGCCATCCAGCTATGTCCACATTTAACTATCCTCATCTATTCTGTCCTCCATCGATCACCCTAAAACTGCCACTTATTAATGTTTGCTGTCACGTTCCAAGGGCTGCTGGCAGGGACACCACTCTTGCTAGCCTTGCTTTGTGACATGTCATTAATACCTGGCTGCTAACAGGTTTCCACAGCACAAGGTAGCCTGTGGATCCATCCCAGTGCATGCTGAGCCAATTTACAGGGCTGTGTCTGCCTGTCCTAGGCAGCACACTGCCAAATCCCAAGGAACCAAAGCCTAACAAGAATGTAGAAGGACAAATGAGAACGTGTATGTAACAAACACATTTAATTATTCCTCTTACCTGCTCCTAGAGAACAATTCCATATAAATATGAGCAGTACAATCCCACTGTGCTGTACAGAACAGACGTTTTGTTAGGAATAGAATTAATATTAAGGACTCTGACTCCTGGCTTAATGCATCCAGCTGGAACCACATGCAAGCACCATGGAAAAGAAGTAGACAGTCTTGGTAACTTTGTTTTGATGTTAACTTTGTGTCGAGATGGAATTTGGGCAGATCAATAGAAATACCTTATCTAAGAAACAAATTAAAACAACCTCCTCCCCCCAAAAATCCCACAAGTGTAATTGGGTCAATGGACTTGTTTTGCTGATTCTCTTGGCAGAAATGTGCGTAATTGGAAACAACTGACAGGCATTACTTGTTAGGGAATTTGAAAACAAGTGCTATGAGGGTTGTAAGTAACCTGTTCATGGCCCTCAGGGGGCGTTTAACAAATTACCTGAAGAAATTCAGCATTATTGCAAGACCATTTTAATGGTCTTAACCCTAACACTTCCTATCCCCAGGGAGGAGACGGCCTTACATGTCACACCTACAGTGTACAACAGGCTTTCTCTTCCATGCTCTTGGCACCAGACCTTTGCCATGGTCTGTGCTTGTCCACAGCCAGCTCTGTCTGTGGCAGATGGATTAGGATTAGGTAATATTTCTGCACCACAGCCAGCCAGGAGAGCACCAGGATGAAACTGCCTTTGGCCCCAGAACACACACAGCTAACACAGAGCCCACCTGGGTGACTTCACTGCAGCACCTCAGCCCAATAAATACAGTTGCAGTTGAACTTCACCAAGCAGAGCAGGAGCTGTTGGGTCATTTCATAGGGTTGGTCTGTAGCAGAAAGTCCCCATGAAGGACTCCAGAACTCCTGTTTCAGTACCTGTGACTCCATATGGCTGCCAGCCAGGTGAATCCTCTTCAGAAAGGGGGAAGAGCTTCAGAGAAATAGGCATAACTGTGAGGGGGGAACAACTGCAGGGCTTGAGTGCATCCACAAACACAGGGGTTTAAGTTCATCTTGATTAAATAGGACACATCTACAGTATAAAACCAACTTGAGCTACTGGTGCCTTCTAAACCAAACTATGGAATCCTAACTGCACAGTTTAAGATTGTAAAAGAAAGAAAAAAATGTAAATAGCTATCATAAACACAGTTATGCTTTCTTGTAGATATGTCTGCAGGATTTTCATGGATAAACCAAGGGTTACTTTCAAGTTCAGCACAAGCAGTTTCACACTTAGAGGCAGCTGGAGGCACTTGCAATGCTAAATCAAGGTAAATGAAATAATTTTTTATTCAAGGGTAGTTATATATGCTTGTGGTACTTTCAGTAACCTCCCTATTTCATACCACTTTAATGAATGAATTGAGATGTTTTCTTACTATGGTTGATTTTGATTGTGAAAAGTTTCTAATTCTGTCATCCTTGATAATTGTATTTGAAAGGTCAAATCAACATGCTTTGAATTTTGAACATACCAGCTATGTTTCTTAAGAATGGAATCACTTTGAGCCCTTTTTCTTGATTAACCTTAAATTCCTGCCTGGGCATGGACTACAAATAGGTAATTGCATGTGGATGTAAGGCTGGTAGTATTTTGAAGAATGCAAAAGAATGTTTGGTGTCTAAATGCACTACTGCTTAAGCTCTCACGAAACAAGTTTAGTCCACAAAGTCTATTAATAATTTAAAATTAAAAATGAACAATCAAACAAAAAAACACTACCAGTAAAAACCCAATCCAAAATACATCTCAGCAGCCATACTTTGCTTGGAGGTTACCTGAACCATAAAAAATGGAAATAAGGATTATTCTGGAACAGGTTCTTCGTCACAGCATTAATAGCTTCATTTCATATTGCATTTTGTGCATTGACTGAACTGATGGGTTTCTTCTTCTTTGATACTTCTTCAGCTTGAGCAATTCCCCTAGTTATGGGGGAAAAAAAAGTGACTCAATAATCTTTTCTATGCAACTTTGCAATAGTTTATCAGTTTTCACTGTATCACTTATGGATTTTTCCTTGTTGGCAGCATTTCTTTGACTAAAGGAAAAGATGAGGCCAAAAAAAGGCTTAAAACCTCATGAGAAACCCTCTAAACTTGCCCATTTCTGTTGTTTTGATAGTGAGAATGCAGGGTTGTGTCTGGATGCTGAAGTGGCCTTAGCAACTGGGCAGCTCATTGCCCTGAGCAGTCAGCAGTCCAGCAGCGCAGCCTCCCGGGGGGAAACGCCCTGCTCCTTCAACGATGAAGATGAAGAGGATGAAGATGAGGATTCTTCCTCCCCAGAATGAGGATAGTAGAAAATGGAATATACAAAATGCTGCTCAAATATTCTTAATGTTTGGATTTTACTGGTTTCTTGCCTTGTTTTGCACTGTGTTCAGTGAAGCAAAACGGACGCTTCAAAATCAACTTATTCATAACTGAAAAACTTTTTGTAACTGAACACAGAGTGACACTTAGAGACAGAGCAAAGTGGGTTTTATCAGCTAAAACCGAGGAAAAGAACAAAGTTCTTGGAGATTTGGCAAAGCAAAACCCAAGTTTACCTTTTCCATTTTGGGACTTAAGTCTCTGCCTTCCCCTTGTCTTTACCAGATGGAGAAGAAAACAGAGTCAGTCAGCAGATGCCAGTTCTTGCATTGTCTTTTGGTTGTGCTGCCTTTAGATAAAGGGGGAGGAAGAGCACATGCAAATGCGCTAAAAAAGCTATTTAAAACTATCTTATATGAAAATGGTTATAGGGAAAAGGGGCTGCTAAAATGTTTGCTTTTTTTCTGTTCAACTTGCTGTATAGAAGATTCTTAAAGTAATACAGATTGCAAGTGATTAAATGGATCTTGAAATAGTTTAAATCCATTTTAGATACTCTAAAAGTAACAGTATAAAAGGTTCGTATGTTCATTTATACTGCAGACCTAATTTATTATAAATAAGTGATTATTCTTAGCCATTATTAAAACAGTCAGGAAAAAAAACCAGTATTCTCTGCACCAGCTTTTTTAAGGAAAACAAGTAAAAAAAATTGTATTTCTAGATTACAATGTATCCAGTGTAGCTTCTTCTTTACTGTTCTAACTTTATATAATCCCTTTGATGTTAGAGCATGTGTTGGATTTTTTTCAAAAAAGCCTCCCACCATGTTAAGGCTCTCAGGCAGCGTGTTTTCAAGGCAGTGTTTTCAAATGCGGGCTGGGTAGGTCACATAACTTTTTTTAAAGTCATAGGCTGAGGTTCTTAGGAAAAAAATAAAATTTCAACAATATGTCATTTCATGTTTTGCATTCCAGTCAGCTTGGATTATATATGACAGAATAACTTTCTTATCATTAACTTCTGTTGCACTCACCTTGATGCGCCTTTGAAAATTGTATCAAACCACTTCAAATAATCTGTGGCTCAAGTTACACAACACGAATCCCATCTGAACTGTTGAATAAGACTTGCAGCAGGAGGCTGTGTGTTCCATAGCTAACATCACATCCAATCATAAAGGCCTTTTTTTAAAAAAAAGCCCCACTTTAATATCAGTGCAAAATTCACTGTAGATGTATTCTTCCCATGGTGTTCTAACATCCAGGCTTTTAACTAGTCTAGAAGTTAACTATTTTTAATTAGGTAAATGCAGTTTAAAATAGTGTTACTTCTTTCCAGTTTTTATACTGTATGTAATAGTTGTCTCAGCAATGTTACTCTGTTGGGAGAGGAGGCAGCTCATCCCTCTGTTCCTGCCTGAGCACTGACAGCAACTGCGCCCCCGGGGGGCTCTGAGCGGGACTCTCACAGCAGGGGAGAGTCTCTCTCACCTCTTACAGCCAGACCTGCACGCAGGCCAAAAGCACCAAGCCTGAGCTGCACAGAGAAAACGAGGCTCCAGCTCCTGAGCTGCCTGGCTCTGACCAGGAGGTAGCACAGGACCAGCTGCACCCAGGACAGGCAGAACTGCGAGGAGCAGACAAGCACATCTGCATGTTTACATTAAAAACTAAAGCATCCAGGTAGAAACTTTTCACAGATAGTTCAAACTCCTGCACTTGAGGTACAGTTAGGGCAGCACCAGTATATAAGTACAGCTCTTGGCTGAGCAAGTAGAGCTCTCTAGCTTACACAGCTCAGTTACAAATGCACAGATTAAAAAAATTCCTGTATGCCTACCATGTTATTCATCCTCTGGGCGAGACTGTTAAGACTATCCTGTGCTCATGGCTCACAGGCAAGAGCAGACTGAGGGCTTTACACCACCTCACTTTGACCAAATCTGCAGCACTACCTCTATACGAAGGAAAGCTTTACGACTACAAAGTAATATTTTTGCTGAGAGAGTCAATGCACCTGAGTGAAGCAGCTCACTTTGGAAATAGGAGGAGAGAACAGGTACTCCAGGCATGTTATTATGGAATTTGCAGCTTCATGAATGACATTTCATTTAAACAGATAATAACTTTTATTCTTATAAACCCATTGCTTTTTCAAAACTGCACTGTCAGACAGCTTTCATTGGAGAGAGCAGATCAAAGATACCTTTATGCACGATGCTAAGGAACTCTTAAAGAGAAACATCTTCTAAATAATTATCCCTCAGCAATACATTTAACTTTACACTTTATTCACACTTCCCACTCAAGATCTGTGTAAAAACTAAAAACAACAAACCACTAAACAGGTCCTAAAGAGCAGCACTTTGAACTGTAAGAACCAGGGAAAAAAAGCCTTCCTGCCCAGAAATGGAATGTATTTTATTAGCAGTCAGTGTGCTTTCTGCTTTACCAGGAGGAAGATCTTAAATGATACCTTTCTTTCCTTGATGTCTGTGCCCTTCAAAGCAGCAGACTGCACAGTTACTTGCTTTCTGGCAAACTTCAAGCTATCAAAGATAAAATATAAAAAAATCTAGGAGCACATAACATTCATTTAGACAGTTGAACCAAACCTTTAAAAGTTATTTTTCCTGGACTAGTTGAATACAAAGGACAAAACAAGTTACAACATTTAGAAGAGACTTCAAAAGTAAATTCTTTCCTTGGGCTTCCTTGTGCCAAGTTCCAGTACAGGATGAAGTTCAACTAAAGCACTGTGGTCTTGTGGCTACACTGAAGTCTGGGAACTAGGAGAATTTTGGGCCTTATCCAGCCATAGTCACTCATGTATGATCTCAGACAAGCCTTTCAATCATTCCTGTTGATCTTAGCTGACATATTTTAAAAAGAAACAAAACACACACACAAAACCCACAAACCAACATAGGTAAATGCAAGACCTCACAAAATGCAGGTGTTGTATCTGATTTGAGCGCTGAGCAATTGTGAGTAACAAGGGGGGGTGAGAATATTAACTCCCCACACAGCTCCCACACAGCTTGTGGCAGTGGTTGTGCTCCGCTGCTTCAACACACAGGCCCTCCCTCCTGCGGAGAGCCAGCAGCAGATACTTTCCAGAATAAAATGGTCGTGAGCAAGACTGGTTTTCCCATTTTCTGTTCAGTTACCATCATCCTCTCCCGTCTCATGCCATACCCCTGGCACTCAGCGATAGCAAACAAACTAGTACTAGATGATATCTCTTATAAGAAAAGGTTAACATTTCAATTGTCATGCAGCTTCTGTTTAAGAAAAATTTAAGTGACATGTTTCTGTGTCTTGGAACACCCTCTTGGTTATCCATTCAGGAGGCACTTGGCTGCAAGCAGTGTAATGCTGCATGTAGATGCGTTTGCAGTTATATTGCAGTAAACAGCTTTATTCCTGGACTTACTCTGTGGTGCTTGAGAAATCTAAATTTGACTTAGAAAAACTTGTCAGCTCCACTAACTAGAGGAAAAAATATGAGTAAGAGACAGCATTTTTCTGTTATGTGGAAATCTGACATAATGTTTGTGGATTTTGATTCTTAAAATTGTATTAAAGTCCTTCTCATTTTAACACTGGAATTATTGGCAACAATCCACCTAATCTCAGAAAGTGTGTGTATCTAAGCAAATGATACCAGTTTAACTGAAGGTATGACTTAAATGACTAATGTCATTAAAGCCAGCACAATCCACACTGGAGATGTTTCCATTTTGTTTAAGGAGTTTTAGTTTTTTACAGTTTGTAAATACCCCTAATCCTTCTGAGCAGCTGGAAATTGCTGAGTATAAAGAATTCCCACAGAAGGACTTTTGCTGATCAACATCGGCCTGGAGTAACATTATGTAAAAGGCCCTAAGACCTTCAAGTTCATAAATGAAATGCTGCTTGAATTTAGAATTCCACAGTTAAGGTTTTAAATCTCAAGTTCTCTTTCTTCTGACCACATCCACCATTTTAATTCAAGAGCATGGCTGAAACTTAACTACATTTGAACTCTGGGCAATAATCCTTTTTATAATTAACTGGTCCTTTTCAGCTGAAAATAATTCAGGCAGTTGATTGAGAATAGTGAGCTAAAGATGTTTGGGGTTTGGTTTCATTTAAAACAAAGCCAGTAACCACAGGGTATGCTATAAAGAAAACAAACCAAAACAAGTTATTTTCTGCCTGATGCACCTCATTTTCATTAAAAGAATCTCTCAGGGACATCAGTGTATATTAAATAGCCAGATGTAATGAAGCTGGGGAAAGACTACATGAGCTTTTTTGTGATTTACAAAATTCTAGTGTTAGCCATACTTTGAGGTGACATCCTTCTGCTTCAGCCTCCTTGGCTGAAGGTGCCTCAGCCTCAGCAGTACCTCTGGCAGCATTACTGGGGAACAGGGGAAGGTTAAGGACCTGTTTATGGAGGTTTTGTTCTTTAGAATATGCTCCTTCTTGAATCCTGACCTATGTCTACAAGCAATACACCGATGAATCATTTGGAATTTGTGGCCATCACACACCTACCCGAGCATGTGAACAGCTCTAAATAGTTAATTTTCTGCTGGCAGGTGCTCACATAACCCAGTCCTGATACCATAAAACTTCCTGAAACTCTCATTCCTTAGACTTAACAAAGTTCCCAAATCAGATTATCTTTTTCCTATTTAGCTGTTAGAATTTAGTCTGGTGAGTGTTTTTAAGAGGCTGTGTGCAACTCTGCTCCCCCGGATCCAGGTATATTGCCAAAAAATACCCACAACTGATGTTAGTCCCAGTTGTTCATTCTATCTGCTAAGGATTACCATCCTTTCAAGTCACTGTAGAGCTGCATGTACAAGAACCTGCCAGCTCCTCCAACCTGATTGCCTGAGTTGGCATCCCTGGATCCCTCACCCAGCTGGCACTGCCAGTGAGGGGAGGGAATGCTCATTAAAGCAGCCCAACTGTAACAACTGCAGGGGCTGTTGATCGCAGCTGTTCAGAGACTCCACACTCACTTCACACCTTTCATACTCCCACCTTGTCTGGCTACCCCAGAGAGCAGCCAAAACCAAAGTGTTATCTTTCTGCTTCCATATTTTTGACAGTACCCAAGAATCCAACATTTAGGATATCCACGTAAGCTGCAGGACCACCAAAAATCCTTGCTCAAATTTGGGCAGAAGTAACATCTGAGATCTAACCTTCCAAATCCCAGGAGAAAGCCTCCTGCTTTGGAACAATATGGAACAGATAAATACATCTTCATTTATCTAAGAAGAAAAGCAGACTGACCTGGTTCAGGGCCACAATTCCCAGCAGAACTGGAACCTCCCAGGAGCCCAAACTTGCACCTCTTCTTAGTATTCTGTATTGGCCAGAATAAGTAGCAATCACTTAAACCTTCTGACTTCTCTAAATGCCATTCTTAAGTACTCAACACTTTCTAGGCATAGACACTTCAGATATATGGATGCCATAGGATAGCAGGATACAGCTATGGAAAATTTACATCCAGTTGGAGATGCAAATCAAACTCATCTATGCAGAAACGTTTTCTGAGACAAAATGAGTCTTTAACAGTGAGTTGGTTTTAGCCTCTTCTCATTATCCAGGCTGAGTGAAACAGAGACATCCATCCCCAGCACTGCCTGGCTCTTGTGCCATCCATGAAGCAGCAATGGCACCCCCGTAGGAGGCAGGCAGCCAGAGGGAAAAACACCATATCCACAGTCCTTCCTGATGACATTTTCAGGTCACAGCCACAAAAGTTAAAACATTGATCAGAAAATAGGAAGTCCACAAAATCACTCTCCAGGCTTTTTAGTGGGTTTGTTAAATTGCTAATGTAGCTTTAACAATTAGTAGAGTCGGTTGTGCTAATGCAGGGATTAAGTGGATCTCCCAGAATTTCCCCAGGAAAACACCAGCAGAATCACAACCCATCATACAAGTTTCTGGCACATACCCTTGTCTTAAAGGCCAGGCTGTATATATGAGAAATACTTCAGAGAAGTATATGCAAATGTTATGACACTGTATCTCACAAGCACCTACTGTAAAAAAGTTAATCCTACTTTGAGCATACCTGTAAGAAGTAGGGTATGAGTTTGTCCTTGTTCCTCAGGCCCTGACTGCAAACAACGCCCCGGGACCAAGGCAGCAGCCTCTGTGTTTGCATATCCTACATGGCATCAGGAGTACCCAGCAAGTACAGGCACAGCTCTGCACCAGTACATGTCTGTTGGCTCTGGGGGTGCTCTGGCAGTCGCTGAGTGCCCTGGCAATGAGGGAATGCTCACATGCCCTCAGCCCCTGTTCCAGAGGTGCTGCAACATGCAAAAGGCAGGGCCGTCCCTCCACCCCCCTGACAGTAGCACTTTTTAATATCCACTGTATTCTACATGGAAGTGAGTTGTAGAGATGCTTCCTTTTTATGTTTAAATGGAGAAACCACTTGAAAGTCCATTAAATTTTTAATTAAATAAAACTTAATTTTTTTTTTTTTTTAAGAATGAGGCCAGTCATGGACAAAGCTATTTTATGACCTCCTTCAACACTGAACTCAAAGTAGGGTTTGTAAACGTGGTGGGTGGGAAGAGACAAATCCAATATAAGGATGCTAACTATTTGGGATCTGAAATTCTAATTATTTTTTAATCTATTCATCTTGCTCTCCCCCTCTCCCAACACAAAGCATCACATGAACCCTTCAGTGGAAATTTTTCTTCCTTTTCTTGTGTTAAACTCCTGTGACTTCAGGAAAGTCCAAGTTGCCCATTCATTTTAATTTGCTGCATATTTTTCAATTCTCCATAGATTTCTTTCTTTCTTTGCAAATACCTATAAATTATAAGCTAAAGTTCTATTTTTGCAGAAAGTCTGCTATTAAGCTATGCTGATTTTTTTGTCCTGATCAAATAGTGTTAATTTCTACTACCACATTGTACATGGCTAGGAGTAGTGTAAAAAAGAATGTGGTAGTATTTTATGTGCTTTAAACACTGATGAAGATATAAAGAGAAATGCATATACAAAGTTTTACTTTCCTAATAGGAACACTGGCATTAGCAAATAGTATATTTGAACCAATAGGAAATATTACTTTGTAGTAGAAAACACTTTGTAAATAAAAACTTGTTATTTTTTTAATGGAAATTTTATAGAAGCTTTTTCTGTATACTCAATTGATCCCATGTTTACTGAAAATGCTGCAAATGGGAACTGTACATTGGAAAAAGGGGGGTGGGGAGCAGACAGTCTGACTGAGGTAAAAGCTGTGTGTGCTTTGGAGAAAAACATCCAGTTGTCTGTGAACAGAAATGTAAAACTTAACTGTAGAAGAACCGAATAAAAGAATTTCAAGGCAACAGGATTGGGCTTGTTTTTGAGAAAAACATTGCAGAAAAAGGTTGCACAAGGTTAAGGCTGACAGTATGTACCTTATAAAAAAAAAAAAAAAAGAACCACCCTATTTCACATAGGAAATATTGCATCCTTTGGTGTTTTGAAATAAATATCAAAATCTAGCAATTGCATCCTCAATAGGTTCATTATCCAGGGAGAGATGCCGGACTTTGGAAATTGTTCCATTTTGATAACTCACAAAATTCTTAGGGATATTATTGTCCCTGTCTGTTCAAGATATGCACCCAGTCTAAGAGTATTCTAAGTACCTCAGAAACAGCTCAGCAGTTTCCATGTCCAGCTGAAGGCACATTTCACACAGGCTTCGCTCTTCCTGTGGAACAGCGTTTCCTCAGCACGCTGTACTCCGGTCCTCTGTGCGCTCCCCATGTCTCAGGCTAAATCCTGTGAACAGCCTTCAAACACCTATAGACTCTGAACTTATATCCTTCTAAACCCTTTCCTCATATTTTGGTAGCAAGAATCCAAATCAGACTAATTTAAGTAGCATTAGATACAGTTCTTCTTCATCCTCTGTGTTGGTTTTCCAACTCTGCCAAATATGACAACATCAAGTAATGTCACAATGCTTGTTTTTCCCCATGTGCACAGAAGACCCACAACTCACTATTTTTAAACTCAAACCAGCTAAAAGTAAAGGTTAAAGACAATAGCAGAAGACTTGCAAAACCGTGAGTTCATTTTTCTGTAATGAATAGAAACTATCACAAGCCCCTTTCATTGAAATGCATTGGTATATTTGGGAAGGCATTTTCATTAACAGATTTGGCAAATAACTAGCTAAAAACTCCTGCAATGTCTTTTTCATAGGAAAGAAACTAAAGAGATGAGAGGATACAATCTTTATCTCAGCAGTTAAGATATTTATTACTTATTTATGCTTATTAAAAAAAAAAAAAGTCCAAGAATCTGTACCTTCTTTTGTGTCAGTGCTACATAAGTTGCTACCAGAATGATTCTGAAACATTAAACTGATGGTGAAGCTGCTTGGAATATTCTCCTCTAAAGAATCTAAAAGGACAAGTTTTTGTGGTAAGCTACATTATTTCTTTGTGCTTTGTTTTCACCTGGGGGTCTCCTCCCCAAGAACCCAACACAGGAACTGAGAGAATATTGAGAGCATAAAAGCCCTTTTCATCTTTCTTCTTCTAAGGAAGAAGTACTCGGCATGGATCTCTAAGAATGGAGAAGTCTGCAAATAACACTCTCTGAAATTACAAATGCTTTTGGTTAGAATTTCTTTGACTGTCCAACCAGACAGCATCATACACACTGGTTTATGCTTTTCTTCACATCAATAAATCTATGTTTCACAAGTGATGGCAACTGCTGCAGCATCAAGTGCTATTCTGTGCTACAACAAGTATTTTTCCTGGTTAAAAATAACACTCTTTAAAATTGTATCTTGCTGAATTCCACACATTCTGTTATAAAGCAAAAATATCTCAAAATATTCAGGGAAACCAGAAAACCACCCCTCAACTTGTGTAGGTTTATTATTCATTAAACTTTGTCTCAACCCCAAGTGTAGGATAGGAGATCGATGTGAACAATACTTCACTGTCACAGTGCCCTGTCACGAGTGCTGTCCCTGGCTCCCTGTGATCCGTGTAGGTTGCTCCTGAACGCAGCTCAGCTCCAGCACCGTCCTTCGCCTGCCTGGGAGGGACCTGGCTCTGCTCTGGGGGTCCTGCCTAACACTGAACCCTGTTCTGCTGCTCTGACTGTAAACCATTGAAAAGGCTGAAAAACCTCGTGTCCGTGGGACTGTCCCCATGCTGAAACCACTGTTCAGGGGTAACAAAACAGAAGAAACTTTCCTATATATCTCACAGAACTCCTCCTCTGTCACAATGGCTAGAACAAGTCTGTCAGACTACAAAACCCCACACGTTGTTGAAGGGTTTGCATTGCTGCCTGCTGGGTCCTACAGCTGCCCCTGGATAACCCACTGCAGGCTTGGTTTTGTAACGTTTCAAGAATCCCTCAGCAGCCACTGAGAGAACTCACAGACCCATTAAAAAACTGAAAACCATTGTCCCAGGCAGAGCCGAGCAGGAAGTGATATAAAAACCTGCAACAATGAGATGACAACAAAAGGAAGAAGTCGGCAAACAGAAGGGTGTGTGTTCTTCAGCATAAGGCAGCAAACAGAGCTACAAAATGACAAAATTATCTAAGCATCATTTTGCAAGACATGAAACCACGCAACCAATATCCTCCTTTTGTTCAAATGACCATTGCTAAACCAAGTTTTCATCATCTTGACATTAAAGTTCACGTTATGCAGCAATGACAACATACAAATATTAGATTTAACTAATCTATCACCATTATATGAACAATAGTTTTCAAATATTAAATAACAGAAATTCCATTTAACACCATATTATGTTAAAGCAGCAGATTGCATTTTTACAGCAGCTGCTGGCACAAGATAGATAGTTATTTTTAATAAATAAGCACCACAAGGACATAAATGCCTTGGCACATTCAGCAGTTAAAAACCATTTCAAACGAGTAAAACCCACGACAATGTCCTAGCATTGACCTGTGTACAATTCCAGCCTCCGGCTTTGCAGAGTGAAATTCAAAGAGCACGCAGAGCTCCCAGCGCAGGCCTAGGCTGAGGGCAAGGACCACAACAAGTCCCTGCAAGGTAAGGCAGGGTGTGAACGCCCCAGCCAGCCCGGCTCACCCCCGGCAGGGTGAAAGGCAACTCACAGCCCCAGAGCAATGGCACGGCGGCCGCCGCTGTCCTGCCTCTGGCAGGGCGGTTTTCGCTCCCGTTTCCCAGCAGGAAGGGTCTCCTCCTGCGCCCTCACCCGCGGCACCACCGACCCGCGCAGGTTCCGAGCGCCTTCCCCGCCCGGCCCCACCGACGCCGCGGGCCGAGCCCAGACGGCACCGCCGGGCCCTGCACCGCCTTCACACCCTCGCTGAGGCGCCGGCCCGACGAGGGCGGCGGTGGGAGCCCTGTCCCTGCCCCTCCCGCGGTACCCGCGCTCCGCCCGCCCCTGAGGGGCCCGCGCTCGCCCCTCACCCGGTACCGGCCGCAGGGGCGGCTCCGGCCAAAGGAAACGGAGCATAGAACCCTCCTCCAAGGGGCCTGAACAGACTGGGAACCTGGAGGCAAACAACAGCTAAATCCACCTTTCTGTAAGCACTCCTGATTTTTGAGGAGTTTGGAATTAGAGCTTGACAGGAAACACCCCTTCACGCAAGAGAACCTCTGAGCACCAGTCCGTGGTGCTGCAGCAAGAGACCCCAGTTCCAGAGCCCCGTGTTGGTCTGGAGATGGCTCAGGGGGCTCCGATGGGCTCGGACAAACCCTCCTCTCCCGAGGATCCCATCCTGCTCCCTCCTGCACGCAGAGGCACAGACACCCTCGGGAGCTGGGCCTGGCTGCCATGATCCACTCCCACAAGGCACATTGCAAAGCCTCCATCAGAATTTAGGACTTTTATAGGAAATTCCAGAGTCTGAAGCATGCTGTAGGTCATCACTGTCCAGCTTTTAAAATTGAGAGCCTAGTTTTACTTAAAAATAATTAAGAAAAAAGTGGCCAGTACCCAACGGTTTCTCATAGATGCTTCAACCAATTCTTCTTTTAAAGCCCTCCACAGCAGTGCATGGGACTTGTCCAACTATTAGTCTTTTTATGGACTCTCTGACTAGATTGATGGAGCCACTGCCATAAAAAAGTGACCTTTTACCATAAGATTGTTACTTCAAAATATGATCACTAATACAGAGTAATCATGACTGGAAGAAAACATTAATATGAAGTGTGTGAAATCTGTATGGCATTAATTGGGGAAAAAATAAGTGATTCAACTAAACACTTGGGTGTTCAGATCTAATGGATGGCAAATCTCTGAAGGTGAAAATCCTTAACTCTTCTTGGAGAGAAAAAATACAAACAGCTCTAGAGAATCTGCAGACAAAACCTTCAAGACAGAAAAAGATGCAAAACACTTTTTTTTTAAATTATCATAATCTTAACACTAAAATAACACTTCCACATTACCATAACAAAGTCGTTAAGTATTATTAATACTAAATTAACCAAATTGTAGAAGCAGCTGCTATACCTATTGCTAATAAGCTAAGTTTGTGTGAGATGTAAATTACTGCAGCTGCTGGCTGTTTGCAGTCAGGCTGGCCAGGCTGATGTAAGCCTGGGGAAAGCCCAGGATTTTTATTGTTATTACTTTCAAGCCTTCTCACCTTTGATATTTTCTCATCATCTCATTAGCATGACTAAAGCCAAGTTCTAAACATTCTATCCAGGCTTACAAACTTTTATTTCATGTTCTGCCAAGCTCCTACCTACCGTTTTCTGTCACCAGGCAATATATTAAGACTATTAAATTAAGATTGAATGTGATAGCGTTGTTCTGTCTGGGGTCCATTGCCAAATGACTGAGTCAACTATATCAGAGCACTTATCAGACCAGTATTTGTTGGCCTTTGAGCAGCAAAATGAGGAGCAGAAGCTTTTGCACTGGCCAAGACCTGATGAGGTTTGTACATTAACTGAAGACCCTTCCAGCCCATCTAACTGTCCAACTGTGTGTTCCTGAGATGGTTGGTACTGAGCCATCTACTTATCTATAGGAAATGGGTGATTGGCACGATGACAGATGGGTATATATACCACAGGAGATGCAACAATTCCAGGAAATAAAGCAGCCCTGGCTGCTGAAGATTTTTCAGAAATAACTGCACAGTTCAAAGAATTCTTGCCAGACTCATTAATTCATTTCATAGACAAGTATCCCTATTTCAAACCTTTGGAAAAATACATCCACCAAGTAGTATGTCTTCTGACTAATAAACTGTTCATAAGTAAAAAAATACACTGCACTAAAAGATAATTAAAAAATATAATAATTTAAAAAGATAATTGCAGCCAAGATGTACTCCACTCTGATTACTAATGAAATAATCCCTTCCCAAGTAGGAGTTTTCTTTTCTATTCAACTAGTTAAACTTGCGTTAGAAAAAGCTGTATGAAAATACCAGCAGCAAGAAAAAAAAAACAGGAGACTGCCCTTACCAGTGTTCAGACTCTTAAAAGATAAAAAACCTGAAAATGTAGTGAAGTACAAGGGCATAGAACAGAGTGGGCCAACAGACATTCCTAAGCAAGCGAGTCTGGCTCCATGGGCACAGGAGGCACATCCAGCAGAACAAGCGTGCACACTGAAGGTGATACTGTGTACTTCCAGAATTAATTTTCCGTCCCATTTACACGTTTTTGTAACTCTGTAAAGAGGGTAAAATACTGCACGAATTGAATACCTGGGAATGTGCTGAAGTTATGAAACGCTCCCACAAAAGAGGGAAAATGCCAGTACCGTGTCCTGCTCAGTGCTCCCCGGGCACGTTGGTGTTAAACTGAACAGCAGTGACCGCTCCTGCCTGCAGGAACTGCAGAGACTTGTGCACTTACCCCCACAAACGCCCACTGGCCATTACTAATCACCAGCAACCATTCAGTCAGAGGAAGAGCTATTACAGATTGTTAACTCTACACGACTTTCAGAGTACTATGTCTGTTTGCTCTCAAGAGGAGCTCGGTAAGCAGGGAAACACAGAATGCATCTCTCGCAAAGGAGTTTGGAGTCGTGTGCCCGAGCTCCCTGCAGACAAGAACAATGTGAAACCCCTGACAAGCCAGGCAGGCAGCTCTGGCTCAGCAGATAGCTGGGACATGAACTGAAGGGGCAAAGACATCTCGCAATTCCACAGCCATTCATGTCCTAGGGAGATTTCGGAGAGCTCTCTTGTCATGTTTTAAGCCGTGGCTGCATTTCTGTTTGTCAGAGTGCATTTGCTAGTTGCACTGCTGAGTTGTTATATGCAAGTCAGCCTACAGCAGTTTCCAGTAATGGCATCTTATGCAATTTCTGACCTACTTTAACACATTGGAGCACTTGGAAACACGAGATCCACTGCAGCAGCTTTCTGCTTGACAGTGTTACACTGCAGCAGGAAGCAAGTCTTTAGACAAGCACATGGATCCAAAAAAATACAGGTGACAAACAGACATTAATTTTCAAGGTATTTTTCAAACCATTAGGAGCATCCAGATCAATCATCATACCTATTATTTTCAGCTAGAGACAGTTCACGTTATTTCAAAAAGGTCAAATGTTCAAAAATGAGTAACTGTTACATATGCACTGACCTGTGTGCTCTTTCTCAGCCTGTCTAGGCTGCAGTTTCCTGAAGAACACCTCGGGGAGGGTTTGTGTGTGATGGGTGATCAAACACAACAGGCTTTAGCAATACAGAAATCTTTTCTTTTGCTCCCCCAGCCAGATGTTGCAGAAGGAAGCTGTCTTCTTCTACATATCCTCCCGCACTCCAGCAATAAATGAAAGGTCTTTGAGAACTAAAGGTCTTATCAAAGAGGATCTTTGATACTCTTATTAATTACACTACCAAGTGTGAACAGCCAGGGACCTAAACACTACTAAAGGAAAGGCCGCAAAGAGAATTATTTCTACTACTAATCAGAACTAAGCTTTGAAGGGAAGTAGTAAGAAAAAATTGGAATTAGTATCCCTTCCTTCTCCCACATAAGAAACAGGACTCTGGACACATTCCCCTGTGTGGAAATTTCAAATTTGTAATCTGATTAAGGTGTCTGACCAGTTATTTTAGTGGGCCTGCAGACACTTGTCACGGCAAACTATGGTAAAGTTCAAGATCTTCAGACCAATGCTGGAAAGGTTGCTTTGTTTTGTTGTTTCCTTTTGCCCTCCCCGGGTTCTGTTATTAAGTTAAGGCTCAAGCATGGCTGAAGCAAACAATACACACCATTGTGACTTCTCCCATGCAGACAAAACAGTGAAGTCCAAATGACATCCAGTATTATTCACCAACAGCTGCTTTACCTTGTTTCTTTAATACATACTTATCACTCTTGCCCTGCCATTTCAGAATAATTTGTACCTTATTACTACAGTGCCCAAATGATCCTT